ACCACACAACACACCGGTAGAACTCTGCCTGCGCTTCCAGCAGCCACTTGGCAGCAGCCATCTCTTCGTCTGCCCAATCTCGGCGCTTGACCTTCTGTCTGGGTTCCTTCATATTACGCTACTCAGAGGGTCATGGGACTTAGTAAGTAGGTTATAAGTGGGGTTATAAGTCCCCTAAGTGGGGTTATCTTAATTATAACCTACTTATAACCTTACTTACTAAGTCCCATGAGCCTTTAAGTACCTTTGAAGCTCCGAAAAGGGTTCATTCAAGGGGTCTGAAGGGTTTAGGGTTGAGGGTTTCTTTTGCGGAGACGTTTGGGCAAACATTTTGTAGCACCTGACAACTCGGCATGAGATCTCGAAAGACGTAGAACTGGGCTTCATTCACTGGCCATTTTATGTTGAATTGGGTTTGGAGGGTATGTTTACTATCGCAGCCACCCTAAACCCTAAACCCTACAGCCTAAACCCTAAACACTACACCCTAAACCCTAAACCTTAAGCCCTAAACCCTAAACCCTTAACATCAGGGAAGCCTAAGCCTTCTCAGGGCCAGCGGCCGTGTTCGACGGCACGGTCTCCGTTGGAGGCCCTCCAAAACTCCTGCACCCAAAGGCTCAAGGGACTTAGTAAATAGGGTTCTATACTAGGATTCTATAGGGTACCATAGTGTTCTATAGTAGGGTTCCTTTTTAGGGGTTTAGGGGTTTAGGGCTTACTTGAAGGCTCAAGGGACTGAGTAAATAGGTTTCAAGTAAGCTTTTGATTAAGATACGCCCATTTGAGGGGGCCTTACAAAAGCCTTGAGCCCTAAACCCTGCACCCCTACCTTATAAAGCCTTAAACCCTAAGCCCTTAAGCTATTACTAAGTCGTTGGGGTCAGGTTTGACTAGAGGAATTCTTTGCTATTGGGATTCTTCTACTTTACTGTATTCTTCTTGTTTATTGTCATTCTTATTGTTATTTGTTATTGGCAATGCTCTTTAAGGCTGAGAGCCCTTAAGGTTGACCTTTTGTGCCCTTGAAGGTGGAGGGACTTAGTGCTCTTTGAGGTTGAGGGTTTAGGGTCTAGGGATATAGGGGTTCTATAGGGACTATACTACCAACAAGGGTTAAAGGTTACATACCCTACTACTAGGACTGAGTGGCCTTTGAGGTCTAGGGTTCTGGGTACCTCAACCTACCGCAAATTACTTTTTGCATGTTCCTGGAGTCTAATGTAGAATCTATATGGACGTCTAAGGGAGGGTTCAAAGCCATTTAGATTGGAGGGTTTATTTAAGGCCGCAAGGCCTCTAGAAACCCTAAACTCGCCGAGAAGGGGAGTGTGGAGTTTGCTATCCGGCTCACAAGACAGGATAGGCCAGAAGTCAGGGTTTAGAGTTTAGGGTTTGGGGTTGTCAGACATACAAGCTCAAAGTTTAAGCAACAAAGATAAGTTGGAGGTTTTAGCAGCCTATGCGCACTGCTCGAATTTAAAGAACTTTTGGGCCTGAGGGCTGTTAGTGACGAGTTGTAGTGGTTTAGAGATTTTAGGACTTGGGACTCGACGGCTTTTGGCTCTTGGGAGCTGGGTCCGCCACTGCAACAGCTTATGCACTGGGGTCTCAGGCGTTGCCTCGTCGAACGAAAAAACAGTTCAAACAAAAAGTTGAAGAACCGTTCATTCGGACCGGTCGACTATAGTGATGCTCGAAGCTGAGACAAGTGTCCAGTGACCAACCATCACACAATAGCATGAGCTCGCACTTGATGTTGCGAATCTCAGCGCTTGCTGCCTTTTGCGTAAAGCCAGGCCAATTATTGAAGGAAACACTCCAAATACACCATCACAGGAGTTTGGCTCTAGCAAGAGAGTGATGAGACCCAAGCCCTAAACCCCCAAACCCTAAACCCTGGTCTGCACAACAGGTGCGTTTTGGACCAAGGTCTGCGGGTATTCAAAAACCGCTTCGATACAATTAAATCTGTGGAGCCAGCGGAAGTTGTGACCCTTGACCTTAAGGACCAGATGACCCTTAAAAGTAGGGGCCCTATAAAAAAATCTACTATGAATCCCTATGAAGTATATGAACCCTCAACACTTTTTGGGTTCTTCTCTCATAGGGATCCTTAGGGGTGTAGGGGGGAGGGGTGTAGGGGACTATATTTCCTTAAATAGGCGTTATTAGTCCTTATTATGGGCCTTAAGGCCCCCTACCCCCCCTCCCCCTACACCCCTAAGGATCCCTATGATTCTCGTCCAGGTGGAGGGCTCGCGATCATTTGTCTCTGTCTTATGAGCTGTGGAATAGCCACACACCATAGTGCCCCTTAAAAGAGCCCTTAGAGGACCACGGTTTAAGGTCTAGGGTTTAGGGACCCTCAATGCAACTCATCCAAAGAGCCACCCCAAACCTGGGAACCTAAGCCCAAAATCTTACTTCCCCAAAACCCTATATCCTAAACCTTCAAACCCCAAAACACAAAGCTCGACCAACATGCAAAACCTGAAATCCTAAAAGCCTACTACGCCCCAAAATCCTAAACCCCCAAGCCGGGAAAACCTTAAACCCGAGAACTTACACCCAAAATCGTACAACTCTAAACTGAACCCAAAACCCTACCACCCAAAACCCCTAAAATCCTAAAACCCAAGAACTCACTCACTCACTCGCGTTGCGGAAAGATCCAGAGCGATCAGCATGCAAATCCCAAAAGCAGGGCTTGCTGTAAGCCCAGCGGGAACTCACGGAAAGACGAAGACTGTACACAAGCCGACAGGGAGCGAGAAGCAAGCTACGACCCGTCGGGCTCAAAGGAGCGACAAATCGAGGAAGCGCGGACCACGAGCTCATCAGCACCTGCCTCAAAGAGGGAGGTACGAGATCTCAAGTGGTTTACCGCCGGAATGAGAAGCTCCTGAGGAGCAGCAAGAAAAACCTGACCTTCGCTGAGTGACACGGACGTGAAGACTGCATCGGGCAGGAGGTCACGCCACAATCGGGTCCCCAGTGAACTTGGGCGTCCGCAGATCCAAACAGCAGCACCCATTTGCACATGCTTGCAGATCAGACGGAACATCACCGTCGCGCTCAACAAGGCGCGCAGAGCAATAGGAGGCCCGTCAGTAGGGCCCTCTGTAGCATCAAGCGCGACACGCAATGACTTGAAACCAGAACGTGCCTCGAAATCCCATGGATGAAAGGAGTGAACGGAGGTCCACAACTTCCACAAGCGATGCCAGACAGTGGGAAGGCGCCAGAGCGCCGGCTGCCGCACCATCTCAGGCCAGCGCGGTGACACAACCCGACCAACAACCGAAGGCAAGATTGGAGCCAACTGCTCGGCTTCGATCACGAAACAGCATCGCAGGCTCGTTGCATGTAAGGAAGCAGCACACGCTAGAGGTGCATGAGCATCGTTGGGCCTGACATCCGTACCCGGTGCCGGCAGAGATCCGCTGGCACCTTGATCGAAATGGTCGAGTGCATTGTCTGGCCAGTCATCGACTTCTGTAACCCCAAGATGCAGCAGACGCTCCAAGCGGAGCTCATCTTCTGTGCATTCGCGCGCCTGCTCAGCTGCTGCCCTCTGCGCCGGCGTGGCATTGATAGGCCCGGGCAGGCGCGTCGCTGGCAGGCCTCTGTGGCATCGGGGCCCTTTCCTCTTGGTTCCGGTCCCGTAAATGTAAGCAGGGCCAACCACAACCCTTAAACCGTGTAAGCAAGCGGGAGACGTCTTGAGATGGTACTTGAGACGATCTGTGGAGTGCTGGTCGGCATGGCACCAGAGGCACACAGTTCCACATGTATATTGTGTGAGGCAGTTGACTACAGAGTGCTTCCTGTGGATGTGTGCAGCAAGGGCATGGGCACTCGGAAGACATTGGCCACACAGACGGCACGTGCAGGGGTTACGACGACCCAGAACCCGAGAGGTCTTCTGCACAGTAACATCCTGCCACAGGAGGTGAAGCGCCCTGTATGCAGAGCCGTAGCGGCTGAGGTGTCGGCAGGCCTTAAAGAGTAGGCTAGCCTTATCACGAACAAGGAGACTCGTCACCCGGGTGCGATCGTAGGGGCCTGGCAAGCTATGAGCGAGTTCCTGGCAGGCTTCGGTGAGCAACTGCCCCCAAGGCGTAGCCCGGTTCCAGACCGCATCAACCAGATTGCCGACACATGCTGGTGCACGCGTGAGCAGTTGGACCGTGAGGCGCACCCGCGCAATGCAGATGGCGTCCTCCGGGGAGGACAGGCCCAGCAGCAGAGTGAGAAGAGGCTTGCTGAGCATGTGGCCATATGACCATGATTCCACGAGCTGTCTAGCAGCCCTCTCGAAGAATCCAACCAGCGGGCTCAGGGCTCGTGCTGAGGTCGCGATAGAAGTGGCAATGGTTGCGTAGGCAGCTGGTAGCACTCGGCCGCCTACCCATGCCTGTTTCAGTCGCCACGGGAGCCGCGGGCATGTAAGGAGACTTTTCGCATGGGACCATGCTGCATGTGCACGTTGCGCGCACAGTTCCATGTCGCGTCGGCCGGTATCCCGGGGAGTACATATCACCCCGAGATATCTGTACTCAGGCGAAATGCGGACCTCGTGTCCGCTGGGCAGGTGCAGGACAGCCGGCGCAGCGAGGAGCTCACTCCGGATCTTGGTGGCCTCTACACCTCTAATATCGACCATAACCTCTGTTTTGCTGGCACCGAGGTTAATCCTGAGGTTAAGAAGATCAAGGGTGGTGATGGCGATAGTCACAAAACGTGGGAGGAGATCCCGCAGTTGTGCCGGCGACATGAAATCAGCAAGTATAGCAAGATCGTCGGCCCATCCAATGGGGAGTACGGTGTCGTCTGCCCCGATGTGACTGCCAGCGGCTTGGAGAGTGATTCCTTCGGCGCTGCATGCCCTACGGATATGACGCAGTGCAACCGCGAATAATGCGCCGAAAAGGATATCAGCAAGACCGTCCCCGGGGCGGGAGCCTTTGGAGGCAAGGAACACATGATCCGACCCGACAAGCCGCCAATGGGAGTAGGCAACGCAGTCGTGAAGGAGTTGACGTTCCTCATCAGGAACCCCAAGCAGGGCTAAGGCACCGTTGTCCCGCAAGGAATGTGCAAGGCTGGATAGATGCGATTCAGCCGCTACGCGGGGACCGTGCTGGACCTCCAGGTCGTCACCCTCGAAAATGAGCTTCCGGCTCACTTCATAATAGGCGGCTTGGACATCGACGAACAGTGCAGCAGTGCAATGTTGTGAGGCGACGCACAAATCCGTGACTGCGCGAAAGGCAGCGATGGCAAAGCCAACGGGGATGCCAGGTTTACCACCTAGCTGGGCTGAATCATATCCACGAAGGACATTGCGCCCGACAGTGCGACGCAGGTGGCCATGCCATAACTTGGCAATACCGTTGAGGAGCGCAATGGCCCTATAGTTCTTAGGAAGAGCCGCAGGGCCCTTCTTGTAGAGCGCGCAGTAGAGCGCAAGCTTGAAGTGCAGGGGCTCGCGGCCAGTTAAGGCGATGCGCGTTAGGACTTCCCAGGTCCAGCGCCCCGCCTGCACGGGAAAACAGCTCCAAAACTCGTTAACAATCCCATCCGGTCCTGGTGCTTTGTTACCCTTCTGCCGTCTGCAGGCATCTTCTGTCGCAAGTAGGGTAGGGATCGCTGCTGTGCACGACGGGGCCTCAGCCTGCAACCACGGTAATATCACGCTACCAATGTGTGGTGCCTGAATCTTAGAGGCAGCCTCTTGCGCCCTAAACTGCTCTTCCAGCTCGGCTTCAATGTCGAATCCACCTGCAGAGAAGACTTGCCGGCGCTCCGCAGCTCGCCTAGAGGCCCAACGGAGCTTAATAATGGCTTCATGCGGACGGCCATCAGCATGCCACCGATCGGTAGCAGCAGCGGTAAGGCGGAGGAAGTGGGCTTGTTTATCCTGCCGGGCATACGAGTGTGCGATGGCCTGGAGACGGCGCTCCTGTGCCCGCATGGCCTCAACCAATAGCCGTGAATGTCGATGCTGCACCCGTGCGCCGGCGCGCTCTGTGGCGGGTCGGCGACTCCACCTGCGTAGGACCAATCGTTGCGCTGCTTGCTTAGCGGCTAGCTGGACAGCCCGCAGCTGACAGCGCCAGTCCCGAAGTTGAAAGAGCCAAGAGAGAGTGCGCGGTTGAATGTAGGGCTGACGGGGGGAGAGGGCCCGTTTCGGAGCAAGCATTTGCACCCAAAGCCGATGCTCAGTGACAAGCTGACTGACAAGCTCAGCGCTGCTGGTGGCCTCATTAGGGTGAGCAGCGAGTCGTTGCCATACAGACGCCCCGTCGTCACGGGTGTCAGTTGCATTGCTCCGTTTGACAACACATTTCCGGCCAATCGGCGCAGCTGGCTGCAGTGTGGTGCGGACACGGAGTGCCAGGTGGTCGCGTTGGGAGTTGACAATATCGAAGTCCCACGCCTGACTAGCAAGAGAGTGCGTCCAGGCACCAGCTCCGAACAGCAGATGGTCCAGACGTTTGCGACGACCGCTCGTATGTTCCCACGACCACCCCGGTCCGACCTGGACAGTCGTCCACGTGGCTGGTGCCTCTAGCCCAAGTGATGTCGCAAACTCGAAGAGATGTTCATCATTGGACGTAGCTTCATGGCGGGCTACCTCCGGACCGATGAGGCATGCACCCTCATCTTGTGCGCAGAAGTCACCATTGGCATCAATGCCGAGGACCAAGCCTCTGCCCTTAGGTGCATGTTGCAAGGCATTGCGAAGGTCCTGCCAGAAGGCGCAGCGTTCTGATACCGGTCTGTCCGCATGCGGTGCATGCGCAGCACATATTGTGACAGGAAGACGGGGGTCCAAGCAAGTAACAATCAGAAAGCGGGGTGTCGCGGCAAGGATGCGACAATCTGAGAGCTTGAGCGGAGGATGGACTTGATCTGGGCGCAACCAGACTTCACAGCCATATTGGCCTCTGTCAGCACCAGAGCGCCATTGGAGCCATCCGCCTGTACTCCAACGCCCGGCTGGCGCACGAGTCTCCTGAAGACATATGCGATGTCAGCTTGAAGGCGAGTAAGTTGACTAAGCAAGTATTGCCTGCGTGCCCCATGGCCGGACGGGTTGAAAAGATTGCAGCGAACATCCTTGATCGACTGAACGTTAGCAGTCAAAATCTGCAACTCAATGGGAGGTTTAACTGCGGGACGAGGACGCAACTCAACCGCTGCGTCCGCCGGTGGGATCCAGTCAGTTGGACCCGGGTTGAGAACAAAGACTGGCTCGCTCTCATGCATGGTAGCACGTGGGATTAACCATAATTCAGGATATAGGTCGGCCGCGTGTGCCTTGCATGCCTGGAAAGAGGCTACAGTCATCCAAGAATCAAGTACCCCAGTAGTAGCAACCGTGGCAAGTGCATCGGCCAAAGTGTTGACCTTGACGCCCATATGGCTGTGCACATGCCGAAAGTGCGTGGTAACACGAGCTTGGACTGCCTGCCAGACAGATCTAACTCGACGGGAGGCCTCCGTACTAACGGCCCCGACACCAGCAGCGGCCTGGAGGGCACTGGCATTATCAACCACAACGGTAACCGAACTGGGCCTAGCCGCAGTCCGTAGTTGCCAAAGGTCACACATAGCTGTGCACCATTGAGCCGCGGATTGAAGTGCCGCTAATTCAGCCAGATAAGAGGTCAGCAGGGTGCCTGGGGCTTGGCCTTCAGAGGGTAGCCACGGGGTCGCTGGCAGTGAACCGGCCGCCCAACCAAGGCGATACCATCGACCGCGTGAGAAGCCCCAGGCAATGAATGCCCAGGAACCTGCAGCTACCCCACTACCATCAGTGGCGATCAGGAGCGACTCAGGTGGCCCTGCCTGCCATCGGGGCTCCGCTTGCCATGCATAGTGGTAAGCTGCGGGGAGCATGCTAGGTAGGGCGTCAGCCAGGCCTTCTGTCCACCAGCCCTGATGCAGATGTGCCTGCAGCTGGCAGGCGGCTTGCATTTTTAGGTGCCAAGTGCCGTCTTGCATTTTGCACCACTCGGAGGGTGCTCCCCACGCGGCCAAATAGCAGACCAAGCAGAGGAGAGCAAACTTGAGGAACCCATGTTGATTAGTTCCCGTGGAACGTCCCAGGCTGCTTAGGAACAAGAGAGGGGTACTGAAAAGGGAAACCTTTTCGGCAGCCTCTGCTAGAAACAGAGGTGGTTGAGGAGTGCGCGGCCCGTCCAGCAGCCGAAGGGCCTGATAGAGGCTGCGGCAGGTCCCGCGGAAGCATGTGGATGATGTTTTCTTCAGGCACGGGAGACCGCCATGGCCACCAGCACTCAACCTCCTGGAGCATGGCCGGTAGAAGACTCCCAAGAGGAGGATACCACGCCTGGCCAGGAGCCGCCCGCAGTATGCGGTACAGTTCGTGGGGATCGCGCCAGAGCAGTATCCAACCCCCGTGTAAGATTTCCAACGGGCAACTCCAAAGTCCGTGTCGACTAGCGGCACCGAAAGTAGGAAAAGTCGGACCAAATGTCAGGCTTAAGGACGGTCGCCAGACATCCTGGGCGACACGCAGACAGTCACCGTCACGGAGGCAAATCTGTTGTCCGCGGCGACCCATCATTGGGTGATTGCCATCAATGTGGGAGACCTCCGCAAAATGGTGTCGGGCAACCTGAAGAAGTTGATCGTACAAGATATGCGAGGGGAGGAGTACGGCACGGGGTGTCGGCGGCCCTACAACAAGAACCGTGACCCAGTTAGGAATCCCCAAGCAGCAGACACCGTGCACGGACTCGGCCAACGGGGCAGGATCCACAGTCACGTATCTGTCGGAGTGCAACAAGCCTGTAACGGGCCCAGGGCCCCTATCTGGCCCATTCGGAGCACTGCGCCTGCCCAGAAAAGGACACCATAAGCACGATGGTGCGCGGCGGCCAGAGAGCGGGCTGGAAGGAGTTGCGGCCACATGCGGGAATAGATTAGCAGTGCCCCAGACAACAGCAAGTGCAGCCCAGGAAGGCCGGAGTAAGACCAACAACCCCACTACGTAGCCAATTCCAGCCGACGCTCCATTGCTACGAGTGGGGGGAAAATGCACAATGTCCCCATTGCGTAATTCAGGCCAGCTTTTCTCAGAGGACAGGCCAAGAAGGAAGCAAGGGCAATCAACCCGGTCAACCAACATGCCGCAGGTAGCAGCATTGGCTAGGGCATGCACCGTATGACAAGTGCCACGAAGCTGCTCATCTTGCAGTGTCTCAATGATAATATTACGTAGGTCAGTGTCGGAAGACTGATCACACAAGTGAGGCCGGTCATCGTAAGCCCATGCTACTGGGATCCATCGCCCCGGGTAACGATTTTGAAACACACCCATGAAAGTACAAGCCTCGGCCAACCATTGTGACCCGGATGGAACATGAGCTTGAGTCGGACGTCGGCCAGGTCGCCAAAGCACCACGGAGAGAGGAGCTTCGACCTGGAAGTCATAGGACCAGAAGGCCATGTGCCGTATGCGCGCGGCAAGGAGTGGCTCTTCCCTGAAAACCGGGATATCGATAGCACTGTGCTCCGCATCAGTGGGAAAAGCCAGTAGCAGGTCTCCATCGCGCCAGTGTACAGCGTCACTAAGACTCATCTCAGCTGCCTGAGCCGCAACCGGGGCTCTAACGGACAGAATGGGTCCGGGAGAGAGGCTGCGTAGGTAGCCAAGCAACCAGACTATGTCAGCTCGACTAGGAATGAGGAGTGGGAGATGCCACTCGACAGACAGCACAAGCACACACGCCAGGGACGGGGCAGGCGCAACAGGCACAAAAGTGAGGCGCCCAGGCACTGGTGCCGGAAAAACAGGCATGATGTCTTGTGACCAGGCAGGCTCCGCGCCGGTAAGGGCAACTCTAGCGTCTTCAACCGTGTCGTCGGGCGTAAGATCAACAGCCGGGTCACCTTGAACACCATACGGCGAGAGCACATGACAAAGCTGCCAGGCTGGATGGAATCATGCAACGCGCGGTCCTCATCGGGCAGACGCCAAGGGAATTTCCCGACCCTGACCGGCTCCTGAAGTTGCGCTTCCGGAGGTGCAAACATTGCGAAGGTCGGCTGGCCCAAGCTTCCCAGAACACAGAGGTAAAACAAAATGGTAAAACCTCGACTCTTAGCAGCGAAAGCAGACAAGGCGGGAATCAAGGGTGCAACGGGAGCTGGAATCAAGACGTCACCATCCCGGAGAGCCGAGCCAGCTGTTCGGCACTGAATGTGATGGGCGAGTTGCCAACCTTGCGGCACCGCTTCGGCCGACGCAGGATTATCTATCAACCAACATTCAGGCTCATACCCACTGAAAGGTCGGTACGCTAAAACGTGTGCACAGCCCGCGGGAGACTGCTGGACGAAATGGCATCGGCCGTCGTAATGGGACACAGGCACCCATCGAGCAGATCCTGGAGCGCAACGCGGTCGGCAAAATTGTAGGATCCCAGGGAGCCAGGCACTGCCGGCTGGAATCCACCGCCGTTCACACTGAAAGAGCGGATCCCTTTGCGGTTGCCACACGAAGACCCACGCTCCATGCTTAAGCACGAATGGTGAATGCCAGGCATCCAAATGCGGCAGCCAGTGGGCGTAGCGTGGCCGCGAAGGTAAGGAGACTGCATGCGGTTGGCTAGGGTCTAGCCTCCAGGAAAAGCTGTCGCCATCTCGGAGATCAATAGGAAGACTAGGGAGTGCCCTGTATCGCGCGACTGCCGGCGCAGAGACCAGGTGATTCCCATTTGGATGCTTAACTTTAACATAGGCGTGAAGCTCTCGCCACGAGAACCGACGGGGGACGAGATGGGCTTGTCTACGCTCACCCGTGTGGACCACTATAGTAGCCAGGTCCTGTAGCCCGCCAGGGAGCATGACGAGAGGCTGACGGGCAATCGTGGGACCCAGAAGAACATGGCGCCGGCTCCACCCCCCACAAAAGAGAGCAACGCGACCATCCAAATCGTCCCCAGACGTTTCACGGAGGAAGTAGCCGGTGGTGCCTCCCGCATGAAAGGGGGAGAGAATGCAGTAGTGCGCCCGGCCGTGAGTCAACACCTCATGCATAGGCTGCGGGGTTTCTGGCCGCCAACACCCAGCACGAGGACTAAGTGTCGCGGAGGAGTCCGCTGAGGAGGCAGCTGAACCACTAGATCGGCTGCGTTCAATCCTGGTGGCAGCTCCAAGCGGAAGCAAAGGCAAGATACCCCAGAAAGTCGGCAGCCTGCCTATAGCGCAAACAAACGCAAAAACAACCCATCGATGTAGATGAGGCCGATCGGCAGCGCCGATGTTCCAGACTGCTGGGCCAGGTGGTTCATACAAGTATGAGTCGAAAACGATGTCACCATCACGTAAGGCCAGAGGCGCGGTAGTGTCGTCAGGGGTGGCCCCGAGGACAGAAATGTGCTCCGGCAAGGTGTGGAATTCCTCCGCCAGTTCAGTGCGCGAGGTACGGCTAGTAAAGCTGACGGCCAGAACACCTTCGTGGCTTTCATGCAGAATGTGTGCCCGGCCCCTCCGATCCGCTGCTTGAACAAAGTGGACACACTGTCCCGGGTGCCAGGCAACCGGGATCCAACGCCCAGGATGGCGGGCACTAAATGCCCCACTGAATGTTCCAGTATCTGGAAGCCAAACAGAACCACCGGGGACATTGGTGAAAATGGGAAAACGTGTGTCGGGCAACCAGACGGCCACTATCTCAGTGGTCACAGTAGTGAATGGAACATCCCATGGGATGCGGTCTGGCCTAGCAATAGAAATGTGGGTAGCTGCTGCGTCTGCCGGGACGGCCGCAGGTCCCAGAAGAAAAACATCTGCATTCCGAAGCTGCAGTTCTGCAGCATGATCCAGGAGCAGCTGATTATGCAGAGCTGGCGGGAGGCGAAGGCGCTCAAAGTGCCACCCTGACAAGTGTTGCAAGCTGCGAAGTAGGCATTCATAAGTGCAGCGGCCAGGCACCAAGATCGCTTTAAGGGCCTGCTCTTGCTGGGCAACCACGCAGACGCAACGAGAACCGGCTCCGATATCAGGAATAAAGAGTAGCCGATCATCCCGCGGAGCTGGCCACACAGGGACAACGTCGACTAACCATTGGCCATGGACTGCCTGATAATGTTGTCTAATCGCTGTGTATGTGCTCTGAGAGGGAACCTCATAGACTCCCTGAAGGCCTGTGAGCGGGCACAGTAGAGTGCAGCGGACCTGCGCCTGCTGAGCCACAACCTGCAGAGTTCGCTCGTGTGGCGGGAGACGCCAAGGATACCGGCCAACCTCTAGGCCTGGCCGGTGACGGGAGTGGGAAGGCATCACAACTCCTTGCATGGCGTCGGCGAACGGAAGGAGCCAGAACAGAAGTAACGGAAAGCAACCGCGGTACCGAAAACAGCTGAGGAAGATACCGGATCCTAGCCCCGTGGCAGACCTGACGGGAGTGGGAGGGGGAGGCCCAAATGGCCCTTGATCAAGGAGAAGGCAGTCCCCATCCCTTAGGTGCACAGGCCGCTCCCCAAGTCTGCGAGTTGGATAGGGCTCTCGCAGGCGACCAAAACGACCCCCGAGTGTAAGAGCACGACTAGGGCCGCTTGGTAGCGTCCGGTGCAGGCACGTGGCATGCAGACCTTGCGGCGTGCGAAGGACAACGGAGGCGAGATTGGGCTCAGCTGCAGCAGGGATCAGATGTATAGCATGCTCATCTGGCTGTGGTTGAACCGGGACAATGGGTTGCCAGCCCCTCCGGTGGGCAAAGTCCTGCAAAAAGAAACGAAAAATCTGCCCGGAACCGGTCAGCTGAGTACGAACAGAGCACTGATCGGAATTGGTAAAAGGGTTGTGTATCACAAGCGGGCAACCAGCTGGTAGAAAAGGCGAGAGGCGATTACTGCGATCATCCACCTCGCAAAGAAAGGCACAGACTCTAGTCTGGAGTTGAGGAATATGCTCAAGGCAGAAGGCGGGGATAGGGAGCGGCCACGCTCCAATGGTCGGGGCGCCAGTGCGGGCTGTAGCATCGTCACTAGGACGGACAAGATATGGGTCTGGTCCTCCAGTGCCAACAAGTTCGGTGTCTGGTGTTGGAGCAGTCACAGCAGTGAGAGAGGGTGAGCTGGGAGGCTGTGGCTCTTCCGAAGTCTCGCTGTCCCCATCCCCACGGCAGCAAGGAAGCCACAACAGCATGCAGAGACCGGACGGGGCTCGTGTAGCGACACAAAAACCTGACATTACAACCGTGAAAACCCAGGAAGAAACTGAAGTACGGAGCTTTGCCTGACTTTCAGCATCAGCCTCTGGCCCGCGGAAACGGGGTTCTTGAGGACCCTCCTCCGCCTCGATGCCTTGCAAAACGCCCGCTGACTCGAGCCGAGTGGTAAGCATAGTCAGTTGGTGGCTAACTTCATTGACCTGTCGAACAAGACTGTGTTCAACCACATCATCAGCAGTCGCGGCCGGAGCAGGTTCGACCCGGTGGACTTCGGGTGACGGTGGTATATTAGTCGAAGCCGATGGAAACACGGGACGCACCTGTAAGTCCACATCGCCACGCATCGGCAGCTCGCCGCAGGGACCCCTGCAGATATCGTAGTCAAAATGGAACGTCAGCGGAGCACCGACGGGGGTGTCCCAGGCGGAAAGGCCAGCGGACGACCCTATGTGTTGTCGCACAAGGGTAATGATTGTCCCGTGGACCGGCACTGGCACCTGTGTGCCATACGTGATGACCCGATTGCCATGCCAGACCGCAAAATGACCTTGCGCAAAGAAAGGGAGGCCAAAATCATCAGCTGCGGCCTGTCCTATTTGCTGCCAATCGAAGATGGTGCTGGCGGTGCCAAACACTGTACCTCGACCCCGGTAGTTTAGGAGCCAATATATCATAGGCGGCGCAGATCCAGAGGGTACGTGGAGGAGATGCGCGACCCCTTGCACAACTTGGGGCGTGGTCCATACGAAATCCCCGCTAGCGGGAACTCCCCGAGCAGTGTTAGCTACACATTGTGCCATGACTGCTGGATCAGGAGCCGCAACATAAGGCATGACTGTAGGCGCAGAGAGTGTGTGTGTCCAAATCCTAGCAAGTGTTGGAACCGGAGCAAGACGGGCTCCCCACCCAGGGCTAGGCCCGCCGGTCGATCTGATGGCAACTTCTTGTTGCATGGCAGCAGCAGGTGACGGCCATAGAAAGAAGAGAAGGCCCCAGAGGAGCACACCAGTGAGCTGCCGCCGGAAAGCAACTGACCCCACAGCAATCTCTGTAAGAACCAAGTCGTGTGCAGTCAGATGCCCAATAACCCGAGTGAACGGGTAGGTGCAGATGGCCCTGACGCCGGTAGCTAACCGGTGGAGCGCTCCCGCAGACCCGCCAAAGGAAAGGCCCTGTGCTTGTCCAAGGGAATTGACCGTCAGGACACGACGACCATCCGACTCGTACCATGGCGCAACAGGACGCAACAGCTCCCGAGCAAGACCATCCCGGACAATCCACCATGCAGGGCCATCGGCCGGACAGGACACTACATCCAGTTGAGTTGGTAGGGTGTCGTAGGCAACATGTAGGCTGCAGGTCTCCGCACGATGGCCGGCCTCTCGAAGAAGCATTCAGAAAGTGGACAGAGGCCCAGCTTTAGCAACATCAAAGGTGGAGGGGCCTTGAAAAGGCGACCAGACATTGACACGAAGTGTCTCATCAGGGGCATGTTGGACACAATGAGTCGTCTGGCAAGACAGTTCATGACACCAAGCCGGCACAGATGCCGGGGTAGAGTCAAGCACAGGTGTGACTGACGGCTCCTCAGGCTCAGGCGAGGAGACATCCGCCGTCCCTGCGGCAAAAGGAGTGCTGAGAAGAAGCAGAGCCAAGATGCGGAAGCATGATAGATGGCGAGGAGCGGCCCCGGCCCCTGTGCCGCCAGCTAGCAGCCCGATAGAGCCGACGGGAAGTTGTGTGGTCGCACGCTGCAGGACATGCTGGATAGCCGCAGACGTATCCCGGCTCGCGTCACACACGAAAGGATCCTGACCATCATGCAGAAGATGTCCACATTCGCCTGCAAGCGAATAGACTTCGCCAGGCCACTTCCAGACAATGGACTGTCCATGTACCTCGACCCCAGGGAGATCCCAAGTAGTGAGACCGCCTAAGTTCATGATATCCTGCCAGTCAACCGACATCGTACATGCGGCTTTCACCCACTCCCCTATGCGTAGCGCCCAGGGATAGTGGCCCTCAGGGCACGGGACTCGACACGTAACTCCGAGATGCGGGCAAGCCAGAGTTTGCATCGGCCCTGTTGGGTAGAATCCGGGCACTGCCAGACAGTCTTTAGCAGCGCGCTTCTGAAGCATCGCACCCTGAGGCGTGGGCCGAGCATTGGGTGGCCAATGGAGCGGGACTGTTTGGGTCCCTTGCTCGTGTCCGGCAGTGGGCCGCCCCACAGGGTCAAAACACTCGGGCTGAAGGGCACCTAAGTTCAGTAGTGGTGGTGCAGTAGCCTGACTGATACGCCATCCCTGATCATATGCCCGGCAAAAATCCAGACCCAGGTGGACAAACAGAAAAGCCTGGCCTGACCTAGTCTGGGAATCGGTGAGCAGAAAATGCCGCAGAATGACAGGGCGTCTCCACATGACATCTACCCAGAATCCCCTCAGCGCAGATGGTACCTGAGTGATATGCGACAACTCAGGAGGCTCCTGGGAGCCAGTGGAAACGGAGTGCACCACTGGGCGGAAGTCACACTCAGCAGTATCCGACAGCAGTACCGTGAGGGTGCTAAATCGGTGGCAGGGCAAGCAATACAGGTCGACCACCGGGTAGGCGACAGGCAAACGGATAAGGCCAGCGGCGCCGCACCGGGTCGGGCCATACCACTCACGAAGCCCAGTTTCCAGCTGTCCCTTAGTAAAGGTTTTCGGAACCTGAACAAGTTGAAGCCCTTTATCGGGCGACGTAATCAGCACTTGCATGCTGACTCGCAACCAATGACTGGCATCATGCTCGTGACAGTGAGGTGCCCAACCTCGACGGGGGGCTCAGGCGCACCGGCATGGGCAACCACAACATCGCCATTGCGAAGAGGGAAAACCGTGCCTTCGCCAAGACGAAACGGGCGTCCTGGATGGAGCAGTACAAGAGCCTCCAGAATGTGTTGGCCTGGGTGGTCAGCCGGGACATCAAGGCAAATAAAGGGTCCTCCACTATCAACCAGAATAGTCACATACTTAGCATCCCTGGCAGGAGCGACGAAGGCAACATACCGGGAGTTCATGGAGGCCAGGACTGGTACCGGGAACTTACGACCAGCGGCTCCGCTGGCCCGGAGCAAGGCATGCCTAAGGTCGCGGGCGGAATGAGTGCCTAGAATATGAAAAGAGTGCACACTGCCGGCGGCAAAAACCTTAATATGGAAAGCCCTTGACGGTGAATGTGCGAGGCCTAGGCTGCAGCGAACATCCACATGTTCCCAGTCTCCGAAGACTTGCAAGCGTTGTGCCAACTTGTGGTGTTCAGTGATGCTTGCCAGGTTGTTTTCGGGGCTGTGCGGAGGACCATCGATTGGCTCCTGAGAGATGGGGATAGCACCCTCCTGCAAGGGGTCGGCGGGAGGTAAGAAGGTGGCAATGCTTGCACCCCAAAAGAGCCCAAAGAGAAGACCACGGCCACCGAGAAGGTTCGACAACCCGATGCAAACAGCCACACTAAGGGTGGGTCGCCAACCAGCCGAAGGTGGCGAAGCGAGCTCATCACGCACACCATGTTGGTGCCTTCGCACAATAACAAGTGGGGCCGGCACTGCTGCATGCAAGGGAGAGTATGGATCTACCACACATTCCCGATGTATCACGCAGAGACTTCCGGTGGCAAGGGAGCTCATGACAGAGGTGCTTGCATCAGGCTCGCCGTAAGAAGCCACAGCATCCTTAAGCCTGGTGGCCGGTGGGGAATCACGCGCCATGGCACCGACGACAAGGCCGCCACCCAAGGGCCGGAAGTCAATGACCCCTGGAAACTGCCCGACAGTGCATTGCATCGCCACAAATTGGATGGCTGGCAAGCGGTCAAGGGGGGGTAGGATCCTCGCGAAATGACTAAATTCAAGTCCCCCACTTGTCACCTCGTGCATGAAGCTCCCCATAACGGTGGAGCGAATGGAAAGGTGGTCGGCGTAGACAGGCGCAAAAGTGTAGTGGAGACCTTGGGTGTAAAGGACAACCGCGTTGGCGCCGTTTTCTTCATGAAAGGCCAAAGCGACAGGACTCGGTAACGAGAGGCTGGTGGAAAAGACATCTTCCAGAGACAATCTTGGAGATAGGGAGCCTCCATGCTCAGTGCGGGCTGAGGCTCGGTCGCGTTGGACGGGCCATGCCTGCAGGGTATCTCCCCGAGGCAACATGCTGGTGTAGGCCTGGGGCACGAACCAAGCTCCACATGTGCGACACAAGAAGTCCTGTTCAGCAATAGAAAGCTGCTGTTGTGCCGCTGCGTCAGCAACGATATTGCCACAAGGCTGATTGCGCTCCGTAGCAACCAGAGAAACGCTGCCTCCAAGGGGCCGCAGATCCACAGGCATGAGCACACGATGCCATGGCATGCTGTTAGGCAGCAGCACATATTGTTCAGGTGGCAATGACGGCAGGGTCTCAACTATCCGATGCCAATGCCAAGCTGAGGCTTGAACGCCCAACGCCTCGCAAACCTGAAGAAACAACAAATGACCATGTGCACGATCATCAGCATGCAGAAGGTAGAGCCTCAGGGGGGAGGCAGGAGTGAACACCCCTATGTCACGCAGATACGCTGGCCGACAGAGGTTCTCATTGCGGATGACTGGCCCTTCCACAAAACGAACATGGGCTAGATCTGCCACCTCAGTGGTAGCTGGAACACTGCCGGTAGAAAATACCGGCTGTCCCCGATGCTGTCCTATCGGCCATACCTGCACAGCATGAATGGGTGTGCAGCAGAGCCAGAGGAGCCCCAAGGTCCTGCATAGATGTATGGAAGGCCTGTACCTGCTGAGAGCATAGGGCTGTCGTTGGGTGCCCCATGCTCTGCATTGGGTGACGGCACCTTGGCGAGAGCCTCCGGCCCGGAACAGGAAAGAGGCAGCAAACCGCCATGGTACTAAATCAAAACCAGCCCCCAACCGGAGTTCAACCCACTTCAGAAGGAGAAGCCAAGGTATCAGACTGTATAACCCACAGCCCAACAGGAAAGTCCAGGCGGAAACAGACTGACATGTCCGGCAGGTTCGAGGCGCTATTCTAGGTCGGCCGGGGCTGCCTCCCTTGGCACTGCTAGGAAAGGGCATGGGAGCCTCAGCACTGCTTGGACATGTGGGTTGACGGAAGCAGCAGTGGGGAGGTATCCTAAGCAAGCACCTCCCATCTCGACCAGTTGCTCCGGAAAGAGCCATTCCTGTGCCGTAGCGGGCGCATACGCAAAAGGATCCAACAGTCCCCCTATAGTAACATGCGCAGCCACTAGGATACCCTGCGGCAACTTGGACAAGACAACCGGGAACTGTCTTGCCCGATAAAGCACATCGCGCAGGCCGTCGTGGAGGTCCTGAAGGCAAGTCTCTGACGGCCTGGCAACAGCATCTTGGAGCAACTGCCACACATGTCCGGCTACCTGAAGAGTCACCTCGGCAGCCTGGGTGTCGGTGCTGAGGGGAAGGGCAGCATCCTGTTCGGCACTGACAGCAACTTCGCCGACTGGGTCCGCTCCGTTTTCGACTGCGAACCTGAGAAGTGACAGCCACGCAATCTGCCAGGTTAGAGCCACTGGGGTTTCCGCTGCCACTAACTCCGGCTCGGAGGTCGTCACACTTGTGATTGGCACCCTGCGGAGTGCTTCGGGTGTCCTGCCTGTGGCCTCGCTGAGCCACGGCTCGCCCGAAGCTGAAGCCCGTCGAGGACTCTTGGACGGCCGATCGGTTCCGCCTCCACTTCGCTTCCGCCACCGCCCCGCAACGGGCGCTGCAGGGATCTCTGGACCAGGGGCAGGTACGAACGGCCAAACCACATGGGCTGGGTCGCTTCTGGATGCACCAGCAGTGGAAGGATTGACCCCCAACCCAAAACTGGCTTCGGAATGTCGATCGTATCCTCGATGCTCCGGAGCGGCAGCCGTGGTGAGGTGCTCGTGGGTCAATTGCAAGGCAGTCGAAGCCTCGCCAAAACCGGATCCAGGAAGTACGGTTCGAGGTGGCCCACTCCCTGCAGCTGCCGTACCCGGACTCTGTACCACGGCAAAAGCACGAAGTGCCGCTGCGATTCGTTGAATCTCGGTCTCCTGCACCTCGGTCCAAGACATGCCCATCGAGGCCGTAGCGAGGGAGACTTTGTCTAGGGATGTTGAAGAAGGTTGATGGACCAGAGCTTCGTTCATTTCCTGAACCGCCTGCGCTGTATCCTCGTCGATCTTGGTACACACAGCACGGGTGCGGCCGATCAATCCTAACAAATGTTGACCGATAGTGACGCACCAGTGTTGTAAGGCAAGTCCGAGTTCGTCTTTCGCACGGACGTTGCCAGTCAGCCTCTTTGATAGTTTTGAGATAGCGTTCGCTCTCCGTTGAGCGAGCTGTTCGGCTGTAGCATCTTCCAGGGAGAAGGCATGTGATCCCCAGAGATCTTGGGTTGACCTTGTTGCAATTGACTGTAAAGAAGTAGACACCGCAGCTGGGAGTGCGAAATCGATCTTGGAAACCTGCGGGTGCTCTCCTTTTTGCCCCTTGCCGGAGGCTTTGGCTTTGTCTGTATTGGCCTTCGGTGGCATACTGCCGTGGTGCTGTCGGAGCAGAGAGATGTCGGAGGCCAAACCAATGCCACGATGAAGCCTCCGCCTCGCTTGAGAACGAAGTCGCCGAAGACGACGATGCCACCCAGGGCTGGCGCACCGCTTGCGCCTCACCTTGGGAAAAATCACGTGCCGGTGCAGTACCGACGTAGATAAGTGCCACACCAATCAGCACCAAAGGGATCAGTGGCGTGTACAGCTTGCCCTGCCTCATACAAGCTGCAAAAGAGGGGAGAAGCGCTCTCCCAGGAAAACCTTCGTCAGCCAAGCAAATGGCAGTGACGAAGGTGGGCAAAGCCCGTCGTGTGGCCACCGCAGAACCAGCACGGGCGCGCCGCAATGGCGCTGGGGTCAGGTATAAAAAGAGGGGCTACCAACTCCACGGGAGACGGGAGTCCCAACTTTTCTCGAGCCGTGACGCCTAAACCCAAGAACCCCAAATCCTAAACCCAATACCCCTCCAGAAAGTTGGAACATCACTATCCTCATGCCCCTGAGATAAACTATACCCCGTTTAGAACCAATATAAAAGTAATAGTTTGAACAGTCTCTTTGGTTTTATATGAGCAAAAATAACAATAAGTCCTAAAGAGATTATATAGTAAAGTCTAAGAGATCCCAGCACTAATCATCAGAAAAAATCCATGTTCCAACTTTCTATAAACCCTAGCCCCAACCCTAAGGCTCCATGTACCCTTTGGCAGGTACTTAGGCCTTAAAGGGGTCCCTATATGGTTACTTTAAGTCCTAAGTACCTACTATATGGGTACATGGAGCCTTTGGGTAAGCTCTACAGCTCCTGTTGGAAGCAACGCTCCGATTCGTGGCTGGCCGCTTCAGCGGCGAACCCGGAGACACCGTCTCCTCTTAGGTTTGGGGCTTTGGGGGGTGTAGGTTTTAGAGTTAATGGCTAGATTCCTGAGTAGATTATAATAAGGGTACCCTTTTTCCTGCTATTCGGTTTTGATAAGGGGACACTAGAATAAAAGGAACAAAGGAGTACTACTCAGGAACCTAAAAGAGGTTTGGGGAGTCTCCCCTTAGCCTTGGTTTTAGGCTAAGTTTTAGGGTTTCGGAAACCCTAAACCCTAAACCCTAAACCCTAGGTTTAGGACCGGTCGGGCTTTAAGGTTTAGGGCATTTAGGGCTGGAGGACTGAGGGTTTTGGGGTTTGGGACGCAGGGCTTTAGGCCTTAGTACTTTAAAGGTCGGGCTTTAGGACTTTAGGGTTTAGGACTTCGGGGTTTAGGGCTTTAGGGTTTAGGGCTTTAAGCTTTAGGACTTCGGGTTTTATATGGGGCTTCAGGGGTTACTACTGTAGTTTTTGTGTTGTTTAACGCGCCTTTCTTCGCACCTCTTCAGCAATTAGGAATGCCTTGTAGACTCTAATTGGGAGGAGCCGGGTAATATTTGACAATCGCAGCAATCAATGATCAGATACACTTGTATTTTTCCAGATCAGGAATGCTGACGTCAGAGGAGGAGATCGCTCCCCTCCAGAGAGGAGAGAGTGCGAGAGGCCTGGTGGATGTTGCGCTCAACATAGACTGAATAGCCGAATACTCGTGGGCCTCCGAGATCGCCAGGTACCAGGCATGTTCCAGATCAATGAGATCTGAGCGCGCGTGGAAAAACACTGACGATCTAGACACAGGGCAGGCCTCCACATGAGCAGCTGGTATCATGTAGGAGATAGACTCGGGCACACGATCTTCCACGGGAGCCTTTGAAGCAAGCAACTTGCGGCTCGCCAAGGCAGGCAAGCTCACACCATCCTAAACTTAATCCAACCCTCATAACCCTTAAGATTTGAAATTGGGGTTTAGGCTTTAGGGCTTTAACGCTTTGGGGCTTTATGGCGTCAGTGCTTCAGGGCTTAGGGGCTTCAGGGGAACGAGATCTGAAGAATCCTTTATCCGTTCGACTTAGCTTTTTGTACTAGGTTTTCAGAAAACCCTAAACCCTAAACCCTAAACCCCTAAACCCTAAACCCCTAAACCCTAAACCATTTCCTAAGGTGCTAGAATCAAGTCTTTGAAGGTTTCTGGAGATCCCAGTGAGAGAAGGGACCAGAACTCTACCGGCTGAGAACCTATCCTACTTAACGGATCATGGGACTTAGCAATACGGTTCTCCTTTATTCTCCCTGGGACTTAGTAGGGTTCCTTTAAAGGGCTCTTTTAAGGGATCCTTTAGGGTTTAGGGTTTAGGGATCTATCAGGCTTCTATAGGGGGGGAGTTTAAGTTACTTAGAGGATCATGGGACTTAGCAATAAGGTTCTCCTTTAAGGGCTCCTTTAAAGGATCTATAAGGGTTCTATAAGGGGGAGTTTAGGTTGCTTAGAGGATCATGGGACTTAGTAAGTAGGTTATAACTGGGGTTCTAAGTCCTCTAAGTGGGGTTACCCTAATCATAACCGTCATAACCGACTTATAACCTTACTTACTAGAGGTACTGAGAGTCAAGATGGGAATATCCTTTGGTCGATTCCTGAACTAGACCCAAGAATAACCTAGGAATACAAAGGGCGCCCTTTTTGTTTTAAAGGGGCTGATAAAGGAACCCGAACCCTAAAAGAAGGAGTAAGGGCCTGCTCTAGGTCCTAGCAGCATTAACCCTAAACCCTACTAACCCTAAACCCTAAACCCTAAACCCTAAACCCTAAACCCTAAACCCTAAACCCTAAACCCTACTAACCCTAAACCCTAAACCCTAAACCCTAAACCCTAAACCCTAAACCCTACTAACCCTAAACCCTAAACCCTAAACCCTAAACCCTAAACCCTAAACCCTAAACCCTAAACCCTAAACCCTAAACCCTAAACCCTAAACCCTAAACCCTACTAACCCTAAACCCTAAACCCTACTAACCCTAAACCCTAAACCCTAAACCCTAAACCCTAAACCCTAAACCCTAAACCCTAAACCCTAAACCCTAAACCCTAAACCCTAAACCCTAAACCCTAAACCCTAAACCCTAAACCCTAAACCCTAAACCCTAAACCCTAAACCCTAAACCCTAAACCCTACTAACCCTAACCCTAAACCCTAAACCCTAAACCCTAAACCCTACTAACCCTAAACCCTAAACCCTAAACCCTAGACCCTAAACCGTGCTGGAAACAGATAAGAACAGGCGCCTCGACTGGCAGATGCAGCTGCTTCCTGTAAGGACTCCGGGCTTAAGGGACCCCCCGTTACTTCTTTAAGGGATCCTTTAGGGTTTATGGAGCTATAATATAGGGGTTCTATAAGGGGGAGTTTAGGTTACTTAGAGGATCATGGGACTTAGCAAGTAGGTTGTAATTGGGGTTATCCGAAGTAGAACCTACATATAACCATAGCCGCACTTACTAAGTCCCAGGAGCCTTTAAGTAGGGCTCCAGGGTTTAAAAGTTTAGGACTTGCGGGTTTGAATGTCCTCAGGGGGTTCAATGAATGGCTACTCCGGCATTCTTTAGGCATCTCGAGGGTGTCTTTAGTAAGGGCTCTGTTTGAAAGCGTTTGCACGGCGTTTTACTTTGATTGTAGATTTCGGGCTTATGGGATTCAGGGTTCAGGTTTGGGGCTTGGATCTTAAGTAGGTTGGTGTTTTGCGGGCTTGGGGTTCGGGGGTTACTAGTAGGCCTTCAGGGTTGAAAGTTTTTATGGTGGGAATTCCGAGATTATAAGAGGATTCGTATGGCAAACTGTACAAAGGGTTTAGGACAGGATGGTTCCGGCTTTAGAGATGAGTGTTGCAGGTTTGGGTACGGCCCCCATACAGTAACAGTCTGTAATAGGGCTACTATAAAGGGCTTGAGTATATCTGCTTTGCGAATACTATCCAACGGTTCCTGAGTGGGGGCAGTACCCAATTGCAGGTGCTACACAGGCTTTCAAAAAGCTTCATGCATTTTCCTTGGCTGACTTCTGAACCCCTCTAAAAAGTTAAACTTTTAGCCTCCTTATTATAGTTTATATAGAAGCCCAAAAAGGTTAAAGTCCTATCAGCCAGCCAGAAGAAAGCCAAGTCTCGGACCACAGGGTTTAGGCTCTGTGCAATGTTCCGATGCGTGCTTCCCGGCCCCGGTGCATAAGAACCCAAAAACTTTCTACTATTTGCTTAAAAACAACCAAAAATCAAAAAAATATATTCCTTATGGGGGTAATATAGGGATTATTATTTTTATTTTTTTGGTGTTTCTTAAGCAAATAGTAGACTTTAAAGGTTGGGTATTGGGGATCTAGGTGTTCTTCTGCCAGTCGGACAGCAAACCCTATCGAAGAAGCATCGCCACAGGGTCTCCGAGCATCGCGTCGACGAGGGACCGGCGGACCGGCGGCTCTGAAAGAAAACCCTAGCGCCCTAAACTTCTGAACGCTGAAGCCTGAAACCCCAGCCACGTACGGTATTTCCATCAACCCACGACCCTCTCGCTAAACAATCCCAAACAGTCTTGAACTATTCACTGAACCCTAAACTCTACACACTTTCTACTATTTGCTTAAGAAACACCCAAAAAATGAACATAATAATCCCTATATTACCCCCATAAGGAATATATTGTTTATTTGTTGGGGGCTCTTAAGCAAATAGTAGCTTTAGACCGACCTCACTGACCATACGGTAAGAATTGAGGGTTTAGCTACGCAGCCTTGAAAGACTCTGTGAAGAACTCCGAAATGCTACAAGCCTCTGAAGCTCGGGTAAATACTGGGAGTTACAAGAATCTCCGGGTAAGCACGAAACTCGCTTGTTCGCAGATCTGATTGAAAGGAGCAGAACCCCGAAACCAAAACAGAACAACAACCCAGCAGAATCCAAACGAGGTTTATCCACTTCACCGCTAGGCCTGAACCCTTAATCACTTGGGTTTCCCAACTGGATCAGCTCGCTCATGCGCTGCATGGGCGCGGCGGAAGACGCCTTTTCAAGGATGGGCAGCAGTGGCCGGGGCACAGGTGCACAGGGTTTCCGGCTTTAAAGGTTTACATAAACCCTAAACCCTAAACCCTAAAATGGGACATGCTAAATACGGTAACATATATATATATATATATGGTACCCCCCCCCCCAGGACCTACCTCCAAACCCGTCGGCCTACACACAGGATACCATACCCCATCACCTAGGCACACACACACACACGCACACACACACGCACACACACACACGCAACATGGACCTGGGTGTACGAAGATTAGTGTATAAGAACATGACTATACCAGAGGCCCGGCTGCATTAAAACCCGCATTAAAAAATTAAATTTTAATGCAGCCAGGCCCGTGGAACCAAGAACCAAGAACCAAGATGCCCAGGAGTCTTGAATCCTGAATCTTGGTTCCGCGGCCACCGGCCGGGCTGCATTAAAACCCGCATTAAAAAATTAAATTTTAATGCAGCCAGGCCCGTGGAACCAAGAACCAAGAACCAAGATTCCCAGGAGTCTTGAATCTTGGATCTTGGTTCCGTGGGCACCGGCCGGGCTGCATTAAAACCCGCATTAAAAAAATAAATTTTAATGCAGCCAGGCCCGTGGAACCAAGAACCAAGAACCAAGATTCCCAGGAGTCTTGAATCTTGGATCTTGGTTCCGTGGGCACCGGCCGGGCTGCATTAAAACCCGCATTAAAAAATTAAATTTTAATGCAGCCAGGCCCGTGGAACCAAGAACCAAGAACCAAGATGCCCAGGAGTCTTGAATCTTGGATCTTGGTTCCGCGGGCACCGGCCGGGCTGCATTAAATCTGCATTAGAAAAATTAAAATTTTAATGCAGCCAGGCCCGTGGAACCAAGAACCAAGAACCAAGATGCCCAGGAGTCTTGAATCTTGGATCTTGGTTCCGCGGGCACCGGCCGGGCTGCATTAAAACCCGCATTAAAAAATTAAATTTTAATGCAGCCAGGCCCGTGGAACCAAGAACCAAGAACCAAGATGCCCAGGAGTCTTGAATCTTGGATCTTGGTTCCGCGGGCACCGGCCGGGCTGCATTAAATCTGCATTAGAAAAATTAAAATTTTGATGCACCCAGGCCCGTGGAACCAAGATTCAGGATTCAAGACTCCTGGGCATCTTGGTTCTTGGTTCTTGGTTCCACGGGCCGGGCTGCATTAACATTTAATTTTTTAATGCAAATTTTAATGCAACCCGGCCGGTGGCCGTGGAACCAAGATTCAGGATTCAAGACTCCTGGGAATCTTGGTTCTTGGTTCTTGGTTCCACGGGCCTGGCTGCATTAAAATTTAATTATTTAATGCAGATTTTAATGCAACCCGGCCGGTGCCCGTCGAACCAAGATTCAGGATTCAAGACTCCTGGGAAACTTGGTTCTTGGTTCTTGGTTCCACGGGCCGGGCTGCATTAATTGTTTTAATGCTGGTTTTAATGCAGCCAGGTGGCTGGAAACCATGTAAATATTCACGAAACATATCGGTTTGCCATTTTATGTGCCACATGGCCTGCAAGCTGGATGTTTTGACCCTTGGAGGGGCCCAACTGTAGAAGACAGATGTTTTGAGCTTAGAAAAGGCTAGCCGTGCAAGCTAGATGTTTTGACCCCTTGAGGGGCCCAGCTGTACAAGACAGATGTTTTGAGTAAATACCGCGTCAAAACAACGGCCGGGGATCCGGGCAAAATCTGGCGGAAGTGATCCGCCACCGAGCAAAAAACCTGTAAATACCGCATTAAATAAAGGGACAGGGATTTCACACATCTGTTGGCAAAACTTAAACGTAGGGCTTTAAGTCCGGGGCGGGTCAACTCCCTAAACCGTAAGGCCCTAAACCCCAGGGGCCCCAAACCGCAGAGCCCTAAACCCCGAGGCGCCCTAAACCGTAGGGCCCTAAACCCAAGGGGCCCTAAACTGTAGAGCCCTAATCCCCAGGCGCCCTAAACCGTAGGGCCCTAAACCTGCAGTGGAGATTAGCGAGCGGATTGCTGTGCTTGACAGTTTGATCGCATCTGTACTCCTAACTCCCCCCTATGCTTGTGATCATGTCGGCGCGCCCCTCCCTTGTAAAAATTTAGGGCACCAGGTATTATACAGCCTGTCAATATGCACCTCATAGAATATCTTATAGGATACTTCGTAGACTCCCGTATTAGAATACCCTATCGAATACATTACAGATAAATGTCAAATATGGAACATCAGTCGGAGCCGAAGATTTGCGAATGTTCAGCTGAGTTGTAGCTTATTGAGTAACGGGTTCCCATGATGGAAACCAGGAACCTACTTGTAAAAGAAGATTTTTTAAAGTTCAGTATAGATTAGTGTCTTATCCCGTCCAGAGTTTCATAGAAAATACTCAGGTCGTACCATATACAGTTTATGCAGTATATGCTTTGTATATACCTTATGGACTACCCTGTAACTCATAAAACACCGCATAGAAATCTGTCCTATATATACACCCTATATAGAATAACTTTTATACGTTACAGCTTGGGATACCCCAAAACCCTACACAAGCCTTTTAGAACACCATCTGGAAAACTTTACAGAATGTCTTATAAAAACCCTATGAATGATACTCCCTTTATACCTTGTATATGCTCTTGAGAATCCCCTTTGGGATATCCGACAGAAACCGTATAGATCAGGATTTACTTAGGGCCTTAGGGTAAATCAGAAGGAACCCAAGCTTTATGCAGCTTATTGAGCAAGGGACATTTATGAAAGAAATGAGGAATAAAGGAGAACAGCCTGTAGAATACCTTACAGAATACCTTTTCTACAAAAAGGTAAATAAACTCATGTAGAATACGATAGTACCTCATAAAATATTCTATATTCCCTATACACCTTGTACACCCAAGATCTGAGAGTTCCCCAGTTGAATGTGGTTTATTTGGCAACGGATTCATATCAAGGAACTGCGGAATAGAGGATCTAAAAATTCCTTGAAAATCGATGCTTATTTGGCAAAGGATACATACACAGAACAAAACTCTTCTGAAGCACATGCTGCACATATCCTATAGAATGCAACTTCTAAACTACCTTATAGCATGATTTTATACAATTCCATCGATTTGCCCTACATACACATTATAGAATACCATGTGTAATACACTGTAGGATACTTTGAAGAAGAACACCTTTATTTGCTGCATCCTGTGTACCTTATGTATGCCATATAGAATACATATACGGTTCCATTTAGGATACCCTTTAGAACCCTTTATAGAAAACCTGAAAAGGTACGGACTTTAAATATGGAAAGCCAGGCGGAGCCCAAGATCTGAGAATTTCCAGTTGAATTGCAGCTTTTGGGCAATGGATTCCTATGAAGAAATCAGGAACCAAGAAGACCACCCCAACTACCTTATAAAATACGCTCTCTATGCACCTGAATGAATTTCAAATAAAATACACTATAGAATACCTTCCTACGTATAGGCCGCAGAATGCCTTTTTGTACAATACCTTATGGTGCACCCTCTAGAACACCGTATAGAATGACCTATAGAATAACATCCTTACGGAAGACCGCCTATGGAGTATATCCTCAGAATACCTCAAATATCCTCAAATATACCTCGTAGAATATCCTCTAGAATACCTTTTAAGATACTATTTAGAATAACTTTTAGTATGCCCTATAGATCACGGTTCAAAAAAGGAACATCAGAAATAGCGTAGCATACAGAGGACAGTAGACAATACTTCGTGGTATTGTCTTAGTTCGAACGGTGTAATGTCGTCGTAGACAGGGAAGACTACGCAGTATATAATAGTTTTGTTCGGAGTGGAGTCGTGACGTCGTCTAGACAGTACAAGAAGAGGCTTCGAGGTAGGTCCTGGAGGGGGGGGTAGCATATATATATATATATATACATAAATGGTTTAGGGGTCTATGGGTGAAGGTCTCACTTCACAAAGGCCACAGGCGGAATGTCTGTGGACCCGAAAGGCCCATGTGGCTGAACCCCCTATGGGTGTGGCTCCTTGAATTCTTGAACTATTATAGGGTTTAGGGTTTAGGGTTTAGGGTTGAGAGAATCCTCCCCGATTAACACCCGAAATACATTCACACCAATATTCCTAAGCAGCCCCATACATAATTCCCGGAACCATCCTAAACTCTAAACCCTGCTTTGTTGGTTGTCCAGCACATTCTCAAGATCGTGAAGAAGGACGCCTTGGTGGCACTTTCCCCCGCGTCCATGAGTGCACTCGCTGATTCGGCAGTTGAAAGTTGAAAGAAGAGCGATTATTGGGGGATGAGCCTCATGAGAAAGAGCCACATGCGACGAGGCCGCCACGCGCGAGCCAGTGGACAGCGCTGGGTTCTCAAACGTGGCTTCCCCCAAGTCCTCAAGTACGCATTCCCATTCATAAGACAGTGTTCGGAGTCGGGATCTGTCGCAGAATCTGACATGACTCGAGCGATAGAAGCAAAACACGGTCAGACATCATGGCTCCGACTTCGCAATCATCTATGTTCTGATGGGACCACAGGGCCGGCGCTTGCAAAGTGTAGTCAGGAGTCTGGACCACACCGCTGGTAAAATACCAAGGCCCTAGGCAGCATGGTATCCTGGCGTAAACCTTGCGACGTAGCCTTCAAGCACAAGGATGCGCCAGCCGCAACCCTAAACCCCTAAGCCGAAGAAGTTGAGGTTGGTCTGGTATTCGAAAAGCTCTCTCAGAAGACGCATGAAAGCTAGGATCTTTCAGAGTACTAGGATGCCCAGTAACCTGGAAATAAAAACGGCTCCCTTTTTCGGTATTGGGTAACTTAATAAGGAACCTAGGACTACAAAAAGGGAATAAGGGTACCACTGGGCATCCTAGAGTATATTTTTACCAGTCCTTGTATAAGGCCTAGACCTCTACACTCACCGACAAAGAGTTGCAGCGGACTGAACTACTGCTTCTTGAGACACAGCATAGGCATCAAAGCCTCTTATTACTGCAGAATCACCAACCAATCAGTTTCGGAAGAGGCCTCCAAACCACACCGCCCCTCTGAACGCTTGCATAAGACCCAACTGCATGCGGTTGTGTTTGCATCTTGCCGCAATCAACGGATCGGGCTAAAGAAGTCTCGGATAGACCCGTTTTTTAGACCTTTGAAGAAGTGCTTGAAGGAGCCCTGAAACAGGAACCCCAATACTTGCAGGATCATGGGACTTAGTAAGTAGGTTGTAATTGGGGTTATAAGCCCCTGAGTCGGGTTATCCTACTTATAACCTTACTTACTAAGTCCCATGAGCCTTTAAGTAGACCCTAAACCCTTAAAGGAAACCCTAGTATAGAACCCGATAGTACCCTTAAAAGGAATCCTAAACCCTATACTTACTAAGTCTCATGGGCTCCTCAGAGGGGGAATCCTGCCTGCTCATATGGTAGTCTGAAGTAAGAACCCAAAAAACCCTCTCCACCAAGAAACCCTAGCAATTCTCGCAAGTGCCTGACCCTAAACCCTAAACCCTAAAAAGGACAAGGCTGGCCTGCTCCGCTGGGCTGGGTGGCGCTGGCTCTGCCACGGGCTCCGGAGCTTCTTGGACCGGAGCTGGCTCGGCGACCTGCTCTCGCTTTCTGAAGGCTCGTGGGACTTAGTAGGGTTTAGGGTTTAGGGTTTAGGAAGTAAGGTTTAGGGTTTAGGGTGGGACTTATAGTAGAAGCCAGAAAGTTGGAACATTAGTATCCTCATGACCCTAAGGCAAAGTAGAGGGAATCCTAACACTCATCATCCTAAATCCACGTTCCAACTTTCTGGGGTTCACTATAGTAAGTAAGGTTTAGGGTTCCTTTAAAGGGTACTTTGGGGTTCTTTCACAGGGCTCCCTTCAAGGGTTTATGATTTTGGGCTTACTGAAAGGCTCATGGGACGTAGTAAGTAAGGTTATAAGTAGGTTATAACTAGGATAACCCCTCGGCGACTTGTAACCCAAATTACAACCTACTTACTAAGTCCAGGATCCTGTAAGCGGGGGCAGATGCCCAAAGTAATACTTGATGTCTCGTCTCGTGTCGGTAGGTATATCTGTAAATATCTGAATTGTTTGTCGATATATACCTGTTTAGATCTCCATTCAATTATTTAGAGTTCTATAGTTATACACAGTTATATATAAACGTCTACACACACACACGCATATATATATATATGCATGTGTATATGTATATATATATACTTACATACATACATACATACATACATACATACATCCATACAACTAACTGTATATGTATAAGACTATCTACAACTTGAATGAAGGATGCATACACGGACATACAAAACACAGCCGGGTGGACAGACAGACAGACAGACCGACAGACAGGCAAGCAAACAGACACACATACATGCATACATGCATACATGCATGCATACATGCGTACATACATACAAGCATACATGCATACATACATGTTAAGTAGATGTACGTTGTCGCATTGGCGACCACACAGGCCTCATCAACAGAATGCACACATATGCACACGGAAGAAAACACCCAAAGACCAATTCACACCAACACTCCGACACACGAAAACAAACATCACAGCACAAGAATGCGCAAACACAGAAAACACACAAGCTCTCTGACACACACAAGCCCAAACCAACACACATGCACTCACACACACAACACACAACACACAACACACACACACACGCAACACACAGCACACACCACACACACACACACACACACATGGAGACGCATGTGCATGAACATATACTCCACACACACACACACACGAGAGACACACACACACACACATGGAGACGCATGTGCATGAACATATACTCCACACACACACACACACACGAGAGACACACACACACACACACACACACACACACACACACACGCGCACACACACGCACACACACGCACACACACGCACCCGCACACACACGCACACACACACGCACACACACACACACACACACACACACACACACACACATACACGCACACACACGCACACACACACACATACACAGGCGCAAAAACACATTGCAATCCACAGGCACAGGCATGCACGCGCACACACACACAAACACAAATCAGAGCCATCATACAGCCTCTACCCTCTGCCTTGAAACGACCAACCACTTCTGTTGGGTCCCTCTAACTTGAATACGGTTTAGGGTTTAGGGGCAATATAAGGGCTTCTGATGCGACCCTACAAAAGCAACTAGGTTATGGTAGTCTGAGGCAAGAACCCAAAAAAACCTCTTCACCACGAAGCCCTAACGATTCTCGCAAGTGCCTGACCCTGAACCTAAACCCGAAAACCTTTGCAAACATGCCAAATGCCTGCTCCGCGGCTGCGTTGGCCGGAGGTTCGGGGGGCTTCGTTGCTTCTGCCGGCTGCTGAGTTTCCTTAGTTCACCAATAAAGTAAAGTTTCAGAGTTTAGGGTCCCTCTACGGGTTCTATAAAGGTTTAGGGCTTAAGGTTTTTCTTGTAAGGGCTCTGTTAACTTACTTCCCCCATACGCACATACAAGATAAATTCTCAAAGTACTACTGGCTTTAGGAATTCAGCCGTTTAGGATTTAGGGTTTACTACGAAACTATAAGCATCCAAACAGTTTGAAAGCTGAATATTGGAGAACTAAATTTCTGAAGGCTCCGCCACGGGCTCCACAGCGGGTTCCGAGGTCTCTCTTGGTACCTCTGCGTGTCGCTGCTTGGCTTCTTTTCTACTAAAGGCTTTGCGACAGATTTGTAAGCCTTGTTTCAAGGGTTTCAAAAGGGCGTTCGACGAAGGGTTTCATGAGACGTTACAGGATTTAGGGTGTACGATGAAGGGTCAGGGGACCAAGTACAAATATGTTGTGCAGCATGCGATAGGGTGGTTTAGAAGTTTAGATGTTTGCCCTTTGTTTGTTATTGTTTAATGGCTGCAATCAACATAGTCTGTGCTCTTTTGTATTCTCGAGTGACTCTCATAGAGCCATATCTAGAAAGAACCTACAATTCTCAAAAGCATCCTCTAGAAGCTGTTCAATAAGCCACCGGGAGAAACGATGGAAAACGTAAACCTTTGAAGTAACCCTTAAATTTAAGGAGCCCTTACAGGAACCACTTTAAGGGAACCCTAAGCCCTCGACCCTGTGGCTATTCAGGCCTAGACCAAGCCTTGAAAACCTTAAGCCTTTCGAAACTCTTTGAAGGAGCCTTGACGGAACCCTTATGATCCTATGTACCCACACGTATGGTACTCTTACAGTAGCCTTGTAGTAGCCTCATAGTATACTTAAACTATCTAAAACCCCAAATTTTAAACTAAATAAAAACCGGTTCCTGAGTAGCCCCTCAATAATAAAGATACCCTTTTTCCTACTATCTGGAATTAACAAATACTGAAGAGACCCCAGAAGGAAAAGGGCATAAGGGTACTATTCAGCTACCTAATAAACTTGAAATGTCCTAAACCTAAACCCTAGACCTATACCCTAAACCTTAAACCCTCGACATTCAACAGTAAATTCCCACCTGATCCCCGGGGCCGTTCCCACCGATAACTGGGTGCCCAAACACTGACAGTGCCCGGCAGCTTCTACATTCACACTGGGCCAAACAATGGGTGGAGCCTATGGGGGGGTCCCAGCCCCCAAGCAGGCAGATTCCAGCAACTGGTCCTAACAAAAGACCCAGCCAAAAACGCCGAAACTGTGCCAGCCTGACCCACTGTCCCGGCCTCCCCTGGCCCCCCCTCCTCCTCCCTGCTCTGCTGCCCTGGTGCCCTGCCTTATGTCCTGCCCAGCTCTTGGCCTGTCTGCTCAGTGTGGGAATTGAGGGCGAAGCCCTAAACCCTAACTGGAAATGGTTTGGGTGGTTGCGTGTGGTATCATCGCAGCGAGCGGGGCGGGTTTAAGAGAACTTCAAGCTTCCGGTTTCACCGAGATCTGTGACACCTGCAAGGAATTTGCGAGACGCGCTGCCGCCAACCACAAACCCTTGTGCGAGGTGGAGTGACTCCGCCCCGCGAATAACCTTCTTAAACGACCCCAAGCCCACTACCATTGGCGTCGCTGTGTGTTTTTTCCCGAAAGCATCGCGAAGGGTTCTTCCGTGTGGAACGCCGCAGTTGAGTACATAGATGACAGACATAGAATCAACTTACTTGACTTCATACTTTACTCTACACTTGATACTTACTTACTTACTTGACCCCTATGACTGACTCTCTACACTTGACACTTGACTCTATGATACTTGACTCTACACTTGATACTTGACTGTATGTTATGCTTACGACTTACTTACTTACTTACTTACTTACTTATATCTACTTACTAACTTACTTGACACTTGACACTGGACTCTATGCTATCTCTATACTTACTTATACTTACTTATACTTACTTATACTTACTTACTTGACTTGCTTAGTTACTTACTTACTTACCTACTTACTTACTTTTACTTACTTACTTACTTACTTACTTGACTCTATGCCTCTACTTACTTGACTCTATGCCTCTATGACTTACTCTCTACATCTCGGTATCTAATTCTCTCTTTTAAAGCCAGGGGGTGGCACCGTTGTCGTCCATCGGGAATGCAACCCTTCCCAGGGATTCGCCTCCTCGGGCGTTCAAACGCGAGGTAAAGTTACAATTTTTAGGGTTCCCGCGCAACCCTTCACAGGGATTCGCCTCCTCGGGCGTTCAAACGCGAGGTAAAGTTACACATTTTAGGCGCCCGGCGCAACCCTTCACAGGGATTCGCCTCCTCGGGCGTTCAAACGCTAGGTAAAGTGACACATTTTAGGCGCACCGCGCAGCCCTTCCCAGGGATTCGCTGCCTCGGGCGTTCAAACGCTAGGTAAAGTGACACATTTTAGGCGCACCGCGCAACCCTTCCCAGGGATTGGAACTCTCGGGCGTTCAAACGCGAGGTAAAGTTACACATTTTAAACGCCCGGCGCAACCCTTCACAGGGATTCGCCTCCTCGGGCGTTCAAACGCGAGGTAAAGTTACACTTCTTGCGGGCGCCGCGCAACCCTTCACAGGGATTCGCCTCCTCGGGCGTTCAAACGCGAGGTAAAGTTACACTTCTTGCGGGCGCCGCGCAACCCTTCACAGGGTTTGGGTGCAGTTCAATTTTTTTTGCAACCCTTCACAGGGATTTGCATTTTGCAACCCTTCACAGGGATTGGCGTGGTCGGGTGTTCGAACGCGAGGTAAAGTTGCATTTTTTGATTTGCATTGAAATGAATTTTGCAACCCTTCACAAGGATTGGCGTCGTGGGTGTTCGAACGCGAGGTAAAGTTGCAATTTTTGATGAGCATTGAAATGAATTTTGCAACCCTTCACAAGGATTGGCGTGGTGGAGTGTTCGAACGCGAGGTAAAGTTGCAATTTTTGATGAGCATTGAGATGAATTTTGCAACCCTTCACAAGGATTGGCGTGGTCGAGTGTTCGAACGCGAGGTAAAGTTGCAATTTTTGATGAGCATTGAGATGAATTTTGCAACCCTTCACAGGGATTGGCGTGGTGGAGTGTTCGAACGCGAGGTAAAGTTGCAATTTTTGATGAGCATTGAAATGAATTTTGCAACCCCTCACAGGGATTGGCGTGGTCGAGTGGTCGAACGCAAGGTAAAGTTGCACATTTATATGTATAGTATCCATATATTATGCATTTGCCAATCCCTCTGACAAGTTGCCACTTGACCTGTTGAGTCAGGCTCTGAGCCCTCACGCTAGGCGGATCTTGATTAAGCGTTCCCACACACAGGGCATAGAGTGAACTACATCGAGTCAAGTGTATGGTACAAAGATGACTCCACGACTCCGTGACTCTATCTCACTACAACTCTATGACTTTATGACTCATGACCCATGGACTCTATGACTCTTGATTCTGTGACTTTACGATCCTATACACTGACTCTATCTCACTACGACTCTATGACGCTATGTCACTGCAACTCTATGACTTTATGACTCATGACTCATGGACTCTATGACTCTTGATTCTGTGACTTTACGATCCTATACACTGGATCTATCACATAGCCCCACACTCTTCGCTGATGATGCTTTCGGGCCAATTGTCTTCTAGTTGAACGGGGTCTATGGGGCACCCCCAGGCGCTTTTCGTCGAGCAGCCGGCACAAGCCGCGAGGACCCACAACCCTACACCAATCCATTTCAGCTGTGACTTACTGTGAGATGCGGCCGTTTATGTGTCGAACTGCAAAGGGAAGCAGACAGCAAGAAAACCCCGCTTGAGGGGGTTTTGGGGGGTGAACCCTATAAACTCTAATTAAGAACAGTTGGGGCGGTTTGGGCGGGACTCGACTAAATGCTGACGCATGCGCGCGATAAGTGGGCCCTCCCCCGTTTCTAAAGAAGCGCACCCACCGCGCCCAGACTGTTGCACGCCAAACCCTAAACCCAAATTAACCCTAAACCCACAAATCCTAAACCCCAAACCCTAAACCCGAATTAAAGGAACCTTTAAGAGCCAGGAGAGGAGCCTCGGGGATGGGTTCTTGCACCCTAAACCCGCCCTAAACGGCCCTAAACCCTAAGCCCTTAAGCGCCAGGAGCCTCGGGGATGGGTTCTTGCACCCTAAACCCGCCCTAAACGGCCCTAAACCCTAAGCCCTTAAGCGCCAGGAGCCTCGGGGATGGGTTCTTGAGCCCTAAACCCTAAACGGCCCTAAACCCTGAAACCCTAAACCCGTAAACCCCTAAACCCCTTAAAGCCCTAACCCTTAAAGCCCTAACCCTTAAACCCCAAACCCGTAAACCCCTAAACCCTTAAAGCCCTAACCCTTACACCCTAAACCCACGGAGCCTCGGGGATGGGTTCTTGAACCCTAAACCCTAAACGGCCCTAAAACCTAAACCCTTAAAGCCCTAACCCTTAAACCCTAAACCCACGGAGCCTCGGGTATCTATTATTAATATTAGTCATAACTGCTGACAAACTACAAACCTTAAACCCAAACCCCCGTAAAACCCCAACTCGGAAACCCCCAGGAGCCTCGGGGATGGGTTCTTGAACCACCACCAGCTTCGAAGGCTTTGGAGACTCCGCGGAGTCCTCGAGGCCAGGGCTCTTGGTTTTGGACCTGTGCCTACTTGTCGGGTATCATGGAAAACCAAAGGTTAACCTTTTTCATATAGGATTATATATAGGGTTTAGGGTTTAGGGTTTAGGGTTTAAGGTTCACTACTCCAAAAAGGTTAAAGGTTGCCTACTCTACTTCTAGGTGAAGGGGTTTAGGGTTTTGGGGGTTTCCCGGGCTTTGGGGGTTAAGGGGTTTGGGGTTTTAGGGATTTGGGACTTTAATAGATTTGGGGGTTTAGGGATTTGTGGCTTTAACGAGTTTGGGGGTCTCAGGGGTTTGGGGGTTTTGGGGATTGGGGGTTAAGGGGATTGTGGGTTTAGGGGTTGAAGGGTTGAGGGGTTAAGGGCTTCAGCCCGGCAGAGGAGAGCCAACACATGGTTGCGCAAACCCGCAAGGCTCACAGATCACCAACTGAACTACCGGGCAAAGGGTTGGCGGATGTCCGCTTGCTAGCATGTTGAAAGGAATCTTCTGAGATCGCGTTGCGGGTGTAGGATGGAGGGTTTAGAGTACAAGGAGTGGGACTGGGGTTGAGGGCTTCGGGCGTTTAGGTTCTACGGTTCTACCTGAAGCTCGACATGTAGTACCCGATCTGATGTTGTTGGAGAACCCGCTTCTGAGGATCCAGGCAGGATTGATGGTGTAGTGTGGAGGGGGTCCGAGTGGGAGTTTAGGATTAGAGCTGCTGCCCTCAGAACCCCACTACTATAGGGGCCTTAATTTAATAATTAGAATAGGGTTTTGGGACCCAATATACTATAATTATAATATGGAACCCCCAAAGTAGTATTGGTAATTATTAAGGCCCCTATATTATGTCGGCAGCTTAAGACACTGGATGCCCGACGCCCCAGTGTGAAATCGCAAGCGGTTTCAGGCGGTTTTGGGTTTCGGCATCCGAGACCTATAAGGGATCCATAAGGGTACTATAATACAAGGGCCTTCATAATTGCCCATACTATTTTGCGTGCTCCTTATTACAGTTATAGTATATTATATGGAGGACCCTTAATTAACCCTAAATCCTGAACCAGCCTAAACCACAAAATCTTAACAAGGGGTTGTAGACAATGTAAACCCCGAGACGCTCCAGAACACTTTGTGGAACCCCTATCGTAAGCCTTACAGATCCCGCTTAAACGTACTTTATCCGAAACCCCAAACCCTGCTCAGAGGCTCATGGGCTTGAGTAAGTAACTCATGTTATGGGTAAGGTTTATAATCAGGATACTGTTGATGATATAAATCCTGCGTTACCTTAGGGACCCTTATCTACGGGAATAAAGGCATAGTCCTTATTATGGGTAATGCAGGATGTATATCATCAACCGGTTGATGGTACAAATCCTGCATGAACCATAGTAAGGAACATTACGGTAATGCAGGATTTATATGATCAACCATAACACCGCTTGGGAGGGGGACGGGCAGAACAGTGAACTCGAAAACTTGGAAGCTGGGAGATGGAACGGTCCTTAAGGACGAAATGAACCCCAAAAGGGCTCCTTTTGGGGTTCCTTTAAGGGGTTCCTATAATGGCAGTTATGTTATTATGGGTTTTTGTAAGTTTTAGGGTTTAAGGACAAAATGAACCCTAAAAGGGTTTAAGGTTCATATACCATATAGGGATTCATAGTATATGGGTATAGGGCCCCTACTTTGAAGGGTCCTTTGGTCCTTGGGGAACCGGATCTTCCAACTTTACGCTTTTGCTACAGAAAGCTTCCGCCCTCGCGGAAGGATCAGGGTTTAGGGCTTAGGGTTTCAAACTCTCTTAAGGATCTTCCGACTTTGGTTGTTTGTAAGCTTTTTCATCCCAAAACAGCTCCCCCCCCCCTCCGTGGAGACTCAGCGGATGGGTCCCCGCACCCTTGCAAAGGACAAAATGCCAGAAATGCTTCCTTCCCGTCGTACTGTCCCCGGAGCATTGGGGAATTGGGCGGGTCTCATTTTGGCAAGCTAGTCTGGGATTGTAAGGTTGCAATATATGCAAAGTTGGAACATGTGTTGTCCATGTGTTTTGGCTGCTGGAAATTTGGATGTGCATCTTCCCACTTTCCGGCTTTCATCACAATTATGACCCTACGTACCAGGTCCCTTGAGCCACTAAGCAATCTAGACCCCGAGCAATACTAGGTTTCTAGTACAATAGACCCCCAAACCGTTTTCGAATTATGAAGGCCCCTGGTCTATCCAACGCCCAAAACCTGTCCTGCCCCATTGAGCTCGTGGAGCCTGTCACGACCCAATCCTGAGAGCCATGGAACTTCGGATCTAAACAAAAGCTGTAGTAATGGTAGGATACCTTTTGGGGGGGGGGCTATCCTATGAATCCTTTAAGGGGTCTGGGTTGAGGACAGCACCGAAAAGGGAGCCGTGCGGGTTTCGCGGAAGCCGTAAAGAATAGTAACATCGCGTAGATTGTTTGGTCTTCAAACCCTTCTGAACCTATCCAAAATCCGATTAAGATTAAACCTTCGAACTAGACGACTTTCGACGCGGAGCCCAAAGCAAAGCATCAAACCGAATAAAGAGGGATTGGGTGTTTTGGATGGGGGAGGGAGTCCATGCCATAAATGTGATGAGGCGCCGTCAGGAAGTTTAACTTTTAAACTCAGTGTTTATGATAACAGCATACAGGGACTACAGCGCGATATTTACTTTACTATTAGTCAGACCTCTATAAGGCCACAACCTCAACACCGCCTGGAACAAACCCTGCCGGGAGAACCTCCACATCGGGCTCCAAGGGAACCTGCGCGTAGTTCAGGTTTTCTTGGCTGACTTCTGAACCCCTCTAAAAAGTTAAACTTTTAGCCTCCAGATTATAATTTATACAGAAACCCAAAAAGTTAAAGTCCTAAGAGCCAACCAGAAGAACGCAAGTTTTTGCGGTTGTTACAAGGGCTGATAATGCAAGGGTTTATGAGCCCTACCCCTTGAACCATCAAACCCCGAAACCCCTAAACCCTAAATGAAACCCCTAACCCCCTGGATCTAAGCCGAGTTATACACGGCATTCTTTGAACCCTTGGGGTGAGGCGATGTTGTAGGAGGAACCCGAGCAGTGACGCCCCGAAAGAACCAAGTTTGTTAAGCAGGGATCTACATTCCAAGGGTAAAAGGAGGGACCCTTAATAAGGACCCCTAGGTATATACCCTTAATATAGCTATTATTTACCCATGATGAAGCCCATTATACGGTAGGGGTCCCTGTTAAGGGTCCCTCCATTTTCGCCTTTGATACATAAACCCATAACCAAACCTAACCTGCCCAGGACTCGAATCCTGTCCTACCTTTGCACAGATCTCAAACCGCCTGGCATACCGACCACGACTTCACTACTTTCTTCAGACCGCATCGTTAATTACCCTGCACTCGAACCCAACATCTTGATTTGGAGCTGTAGGGGATATTAGAGTTTAAGGGTTTAGGGGTTTGGGGTTTGAAGTTTATAGGATTTGCTAGGGTCTACCTTGACATACCACAATCTACTTGTCTGTAGGTTCTGATTATGAACTCGAATAAAGAACTTGAAAGGACACCTGCAACAAAACAGTTTTTTCATAGCTTAAGGCAAGGTCTGTAGGGCGAGGGCTTAGCGCAAAACCGCCAACCGCCAACCGCCAACCCCTAAACCCCTAAACCCTAAACCCTAAACCCTAAACCCTAAACCCCTAAACCCTAGGCCCTAAACCCTAAACCCTAAACCCTAAACCCTAAACCCTAAACCCCTAAACCCTAAACCCTAAACCCTAATTGAGGGCTGCAGGTTGCAGGACTCGTCAACAGGCCCGAGTCTCCCCCGTGGCCGCTGACTCTTCCAACGATGTCTAAGGTAGATATAGACCTTGTGGATTTGGGGCCTAGCCCATCTGTAGAACTACATCCCTGCAGGACCCAACGACTTCAATACTGCTGATGGACAAAATCCTGCACTACCCATTATAAGTAATATACCATAGTTCCCATAGTTTAGGGTCCATAAGGTCATGCAGGATTTTGTCCATCAACAGTACTCCTGCACAAGGAGATACCATGGTTTCGTAATTGCGACAGAGATCCTCAGTCAGGTAACCCTTTCCTACTTAAGGGATCATGGGACTTAGTAGGGTTCCTTTAAAGGGCTCCTTTAAGGGATCTATAGGGTTCCTTAAAGGGACGTATGGGGTTTAGGGTTTAGGGTCTGCTTAGAGGATCATGGGACTTAGTAAGTAGGTTATACTCCCATGTATCTACTTCGAAGTTCAGTTTGCTTGATGAACGATTCGAAAGGGTGTGTTAAGAATTTGGCATTTGGGGTCGGAAGCATTAGTACGAATCTTCCCTGATAGTCGCTACTTAGAGGATCATGGGACTTAGTAAGTAGGTTATAATTGGGGTTATAAGTCCCCTAAGTGGGGTTGTCCTAGTTATAAGCTACTTATAACCTTACTTACTAAGTCCCATGAGCCTTTAAGTAGTGGGCGACAGGGCGCTATATGAATAATGCCTTGTATGTGGCTCCAGGAAGTCATTGGGTCGCGGAGGGGCTCAGGTCGTGAAGGGCTTGAAAAGACAGTCCAGTGTGCTTACAAGGATGTTCTATTGCTGGTCTGGGGTTCGTAGGGAGCCTCGAAGGCTTTATTCGGGTTGGGTTGAACATATGGGGTAGCAGGGAATGCTCGAGATATATCAGACTCTTTTGTCTGCTACTGGTAGCGTCCGTTCAGCTGAGCTGATGCTTCACAGCACTGCTGTCACCACCGGTGCGAGCATCGCCCCAGGTCACGACAGAGCCATGGCCCAAGATCCCCGCAAAGGCCTGCTCGCTTGCCTGAATCTGCTGCACGTTCTTCAGCTGCTCTTGCACAGCACTGCTGTCACCACCGTAGCCAGCGTTGCCCCAGGTCACGACAGAGCCATCCTCAACGATCGCAGCAAAAGCCTGATTGGCTGATTGAATCTGCTGCACGTTCTGCAGCTGATCTCGCACAGTACTGCTGTCACCACCAAGATCAGGACGACCCCAGGTCACGACGGAGCCATCTGCCAGGATCGCAGCAAAGGCATATTCGGTTGCTTGAATCTGCAGCACAGTCTTCAGCTGAACTCGCACAGTCCTGCTGTCACCACCAAAACCAGCATGACCCCAGGTCACGACGGAGCCATCTGCCAGGATCGCAGCAAAGGCAAAGGCGGTTGCTTGAATCTGCTGCACAGTCTTCAGCTGATCTCGCACAGTACTGCTGTCACCACCAATTCCAGCATGACCCCAGGTCACGACGGAGCCATCTGCCAGGATCGCAGCAAAGGCTTGACTAGTTGCTTGAATCTGTTGCACAGTCTTCAGCTGATCTCGCACAGTACTGCTGTCACCACCGAAGTCAGCATCGCCCCAGGTCGCGACGGAGCCATCTGCCAGGATCGCAGCGAAGGCACGATCAGTTGCTTTAATCTGCTGAACATTCTTCAGCTGATCTCGCACAGTACTGCTGTCACCACCAAGATCAGGACGACCCCAGGTCACGACGGAGCCATCAGCAAGGATGGCAGCAAAGGCATGCTGCGTTGCTTGAATCTGCTGCACATTTTTCAGCTGATTTCGCACGGCACTACTGTCACCACCGTAGCCAGCATTGCCCCAGGTCACGACAGAGCCATCCTCAACGATCGCAGCAAAAGCCTGATTGGTTGATTGAATCTGCTGCACGTTCTGCAGCTGATCTCGCACAGTACTGCTGTCACCACCAAGATCAGGACGACCCCAGGTCACGACGGAGCCATCCCCCAGGATCACAGCAAACCCCCGGCGGGTTGCTTGAATGTCGACTGTTCGAACCTGTAATGTTAGCGGCTCATCAGCCTTAAGCCCGGCCTTCTTTAGCGACATACCTCCATGAGGAATGCTTCCAGCGGAGTTCAAGAGTCGACCTTTGCCAACTCCTAGGGCTGTCTCTGCACGCTGCCTCAGTGTCTCCACAGATTCGTCCTCGTGCGTCTGCAGCGAAACAGTCTTGCCACTTATGAGACTCACCTCAATCGTCAGCGACATGATTAAAACCCTACAGCTTAAATCCTAAACCCTACACCCTAAACCCCTACACCCTAAACCTGTACCCTTAACCCCTCCAGCTTCAGATCAATCGATGGCCGGCATGCCGCAACCGGGGCTATGTTGCCCGGAGCGCTTCAAGCGGTTTGGATCTTAAGGGTGCCTTGAATGTCTCTCCCGTCTTACACATGACTGAAAACGACTTCTGCGAACGGGCAACCTGCATAATGGAGCGACATTGGGGAGTTTCCGAAAATTAGGGGGTACCTTAGGGTTCCTCGCAATATGCAGGTTTCTATTGGGGATGTTCATAATTCACAAGACTTATCAAAAACTCAACCCAGTCAAACTGCACCGTAGACCTTAAACCTAAACTCCAAAGCCTTTCCTGTAGAGAACTCCAATCTCTGCTTTTCTCTGTTTTTACCTGCAATCTCTGCTTTTCTCTGTTTTTACCTGAATCTTGCACCCTCACACAAGCTTTGCTGGCTCATGAGCCATACTGTCTTACAATTCCTGCATTACCCATAATAAGGAATATACCAGAATTCTCATAGTTTCGGGTCCTTAAGGTAATGCAGGATTTACATCATCACCCTAAACCCTAAACCCTTGTGATCCCCTAAAGGAGCCCCTTAGAGGTACCCTTATAGATCCTTTTAAAGGAACCCCAGGATTTACATCATCCATCGTAACACCCCGAAACCCTAAGCCCTCGATCCGAGAACCCTAAGCCCTCGATCCGGGAAACCCTACAGTAAACCCCATAAAGTTGGAAACAAGGCTCCTTTAAAGGGGATTATAAGGGTTCCTTTAAAGGGCTGTATAAGGGTACTATAAGGGTTTAGGGATGTATAATTAGTAGACCCCATAAAGTTGGAAATCGGATAAAGGCCAAATAGTGCTGGGATTCCCTATACATTACTCTTAAGGAATGAGGCTATTGGGTTTCCAACTTTTTGGCTTCCGCTGTAATGCCCTAAAGCCGCCAAAACCCTAAAACCCCAAACGCGGCCTGCACCGTTATCAGTGAACCAGCGCCGCTTCCAATCGGAACAACTACTTCGAAGGGGCGACCTCGACGGTTTAACGTGTAGGGTTTGGGGCTTCAGGGCTTAAAGTGTAGTGATTTTTAGGGTGGAGGGTTTCACGGTCTTGAGGTTTCTAAACATCTCTGAGATCTGCATACTGCTGAGAAAGCTGGGCCATGTTGTCTGGGTTGAAGGCTTCGCCTTGCAGACGATCGCTGACAGGAGAGTGCCAAGCCCGATGTCGGGGCCTTCATAGATGGAATAGGGTTTTCGGGGGTTCCTCTTTATAGTTATAGTTTTTAAACGGGAGTTTCTGCAGATTGGGGTACCTTATTTTGGGGTCCTTATACTAAGGATCCTACTATGTAGGGTACTGTCTTGGGGTGCCCTATTATCGGAAACCCCCAAATCCTTTTCTGATTATTGAGGCCCTTATAGCAGCCCCAGGTCGCGGTTTTCTTGTCTCTCTTGGCCTTGCGAACAGGCACCTCGGAAGCTGGCTCAAATCCCCGCAGCCCGTTCCTCCGTTGCACGCTGCCCCGGCAGCCCACTCCGCTGCGTAAAAGGAGAGCAGCATCCGAAGGACAGCTTGTGCTTCAGGACGAAAAGAACTCTTAAAGGGGTTTAGGGTTCATATACCTGAGTGGGATTCATAATATAATTGTATAGGGCCCCGACTTTTAAGGGTGTTTAGCTTCATATACCTTTCTAGGATTCATAGTATAATTGTATAGTGCCCCTACTTTCAAGAGTCATTTGGTCCTTAAGGGACTAGCTCCGCGATGTAGGCGGCGGCACGAACGCCCGGATGTGTCTGGATCCCAAGCACAAGCACTGCCTCGCATGTTGGATCATGGGAATCTGCCTTCAGGACCACATGTCCCTTAAAAGTCGGGGCCCTATATCCTGATACTATGAAGCCCGATACTATATGGTATATGAATTTTAAACCCTTTTAGGGCTCATTTCGTCTTTAAGGTAAGGATGAAGAACAATGCACGATACTGTATTAAAAGAAAGCTCAACATATGAAACAACCTGGTCTCTTGGCTCTATTTCGATACGCATGGCTGTCAGGTCGACTAGATCGCCCTTAGGGTTTACGGAGATTGGGGAGATGCAACACACTACTAGATTGGCCCTAGTAACCGTCTGAACATGCTAGCAGACCAAATCTTCCTAGACCCAATAAGGAAAGCTATTGAAGACCCCAGCGGGCCCAGCTGATATAGAACCGCAAACCTGCAAAGCTTTAAGTAGATGCCAGAAAGTTGGAACACCAATAGCCTCATGTCCTTAAGGTCGAGTATAGGGGATCCCCATGTTCCAATTTTCTGGGCTTCACCATTAAACAAATGCCCAACCTGAAATCCAAAAGTCTCCAGCACTTCAAAACCGCAAGAATAGATCCGAAAAGACTTAGAGGTTGAGGGTTCCTTCAATGCTTCAAGGGGTCATGGAGGGATTTGAACAAGGTTTAAAAGCAATGAAAGCCCTTCAACGACCCTCCAAAACTCCGAACTCTAACCCCCAACCTAAGCTGGTGTTCCACAAAGACCTAAACCCAGAACCCTCAAACCCCAACCCTTAAACCCTAAATCCCAAAGCCGTACAGCCCCACCCCTCCCACGCCACCCAAAAAAACTCTCTAAGATCTCGGCCGTTCCATTCTGCATTGAAGGTGTCTCCCGCCTTCGAACCGACCTCGTGGATGCCCCACTTAAAGGATCATGGGACCTAGTAAGTAAGGGTCCTTCAAGGTATATAGAAGGGTTCTATTCTAATTTAGGTTACTTAAAGGATCATGGGACCTACGTAGTAAGTAAGGGTTCCTTCAAGGTATATATAAGGGCTCTATAACAAGGGGGAATTTAGGTTACTTAGAGGATCATGGGACTTGGTAAGTAGGTCATAACTGGGGTTATAAGTCCCCTAAGTGGGGTTATCCTAGTTATATCGTACTTATAAATAACCCTATAGACCCTAAACCCCTACCCCTAAAACCTAAACTCATAACCTTCTCTACTTACTAAGTCCCAATTGCCTTAATAAGCAGAGACTCCCCGCAATTACGCAGAGAGCCCAATTCTTGAAGGCTCATGGGACTTAGTAAGGTTATAAGTAGGGTAATATTAGGATAACCCCACTTAGGGAGCTTACAACCCCCAGTTATAACCTACTTACTAAGTCCCATGATCCTTTAAGTACCCCCAAATTATGAGTCTACCTTAAAACTGGGGTTCCTTGTACAGGCTCCTTTAAGGGATTCGTTTGGTAGTTTTTGATAGGGCCCATATACCCCCTAATTAAGGGTTGTACTTTAAACTATCAGGGGCTTTCATGATGATCTAAGCTACCTTCCTCATCTAAGGGGTGTTGGGCTCTCTGGGTACTGGGTCTATAAGGGCCGTGTAAGATGCGTGATGGGATCGGATCGCTTGAGGCTTTTATAAGGAACATGATGGGAGGCCAAAAGGGTGGTTTAAGATTCTTGGGGTAGGGATTCCTGAATATGAACCCTATTATGGGAACCCTAATCCCTACTAAACCCCCATAGGCTAAAACCCCTTTTGGCCTCCTATGAGAACACGCTTAGAAGCTCCTTGGACTGCGCAAGTGAGGCTATAATGGACATAGTTAGGATAACCCCACTTAAGGGACATATAACCCCAATTATAACCTACTTACTAAGTCCCATGGTCCTCTAGGCAAGGAATAGGGTTTATGGCATTTCAGGGTTTCGGGTTTTAGGGCCTAGGCAAAGAACTAGGGCTTATGTTTTTTCAGGGTGCAGTAAGGTATATGACTGTGGGATGCTGTGCAGGACTGAAGTTGGCGGTTTAGTACAGGAGCCTGACATTTCGAACAAGGTTTGACACGGGTCTATTCAAGCATAACTCTTACTATGGACTATAAAGGGGAACGAATGGATAACACCCTCAGCGCCTAACGCTAGTTCCTAAAACAACGATCCCAAAACCCTGGACACTCAATGTAATCTTACTTATAACCTTGCTTTCTAAGTCCCTTGGCCATATAAGAACCCGTACATGAACCTGAATGGAACCCATAAAGCCCACCACCGTCTTCCAGGAGTATACCTAACATCAGAAGGGGCCTAATATCATGACTAAAGATAGGATCCTCAAGTCATGAAACCCAAGGATTATGATGTAAGGTATGTTCCAGTATCCCTCATAGCTTTTGGGGATATACCTTAATTTCTCTGGGGCTTGTTCAGGGTTTAGGATTTAGGGTGGACGGCAACTGGCTTGGTTATCTTAGCTAAAGGAGCCCTTAAGTGAGACGGCAAAGGGATTAGGGATTTAGGGTTTAGGGTTGCTTGGCTATCAAAGAAAACGGAGCCCTTAAGTAAGACCCACGATGCGTCCGTGCCACAGGAACCGTCACGCCGATCTCGATCGTCTCGGACTCCTTGGTAGACGCCTGCAGGTGTTTAGGGTTTAGGGTTTTAGGGTTTAGGGTTTGGGGTTTAGGGTGTAGAGAATAGGGTCTAGGGATTTAGGGGTTAGGGTTTAGGGGCGGTTCAGGGCTTAGGGCTTAGGGCTTAGGGATTGGGGTTTAGGGTTTAGGAGCGGTTCAGGGCTTAGGGTTTAGGGTTTCCTTAAGGACCTAAGGACGAAAAGAACCCTTAAAAGGGTTTAGGGTTCGTATACCTTATAAGGATTCATAGTATAATTGTATAGGGCCCCTACATTTAAGAGTCATATGGTCCTTAAGGTTAGGGGAGTCGCAGAGACTCCCCAAAACCCGGAAATGAAGGACGACAGAGCGAACACAACCCTGAGGTTTAGGTTTTAGGGTTTAGGGCTTATGGTTTACAAAGAGTTTTAAGGTTTCGCATCCAGGAGTTTCTAAGGATAGCACCGTAGAAGGGGGATTGACCCGTCTCAAACCCGATAAGACCGGCATTTTAAGGTTTAGGGTTCGGGATTTAGGGTTTAGGGCTTAGGGTTTAGGGTTTAAATAAAACACGCAAACACCATGGGACTTAGAACCCTTTCTCAAACTCAACTTTTGTATAGACCCTACAACAACAACCCAAGTCCCAAACACACGCTCCGCTATGAAACACCACCAGTGCTGTAGAATTACGCCACCTTAAACCTATCATGCGGGAGACGACATAATTCGAATAGGATTTTGGGGGTCATATTTGCGTGTAGTGTAATACGAGTAGGGAACCCTTGGGAATAGTATTAACGCTCAGTTATGCTTTTAGGTTTGTAGTTGACCACACACACACAAAAATAACGAGGCTGTATTACCCCGAAACCCAAACCTAAACCCTGAAACCAACACCCTAAACACAGTCAACATACGGAAATCTGTTGCACTAGGTTCCTGAGTAGCCCTTCTAAAAGCAGGCTGGCCCCAAAAAGGAGGTCAAAAGGGTACTACTTAGTTACCTAGGATACCCAGTAACCTAAGAATAAAAAGGCCTCTCTTTTTGGTATTGGGTAACTTTATAAGGAGCCTAGGACTACAAAAAGGAATAAGGGTACTACTGGGCATCCTAGTTACCTACTGCATGTAAGCCAAATGGTCTGGTTGCCTGCGCAGGCTCCGCCGCAGCCGGCTCAGCAGGCGTCGGTGGTTGTGTGCTGGTTGGGGGCGGTGCCTCTAGTTGTCACGAAGGTTACGAGTATGAGCTTGAATCTTGAAGGCAGTATTTAGGCACGGTTTGGGTTTAGTAAGGGTTCAGGGTTTAGGGTTTAGGGCTTTGGGGTTTTGGCTCATTCAAGCTCGACGTGTTTAGGGACCTGTTGGCTTGGAAGGAGGTTTACGGTTGTTCTTGGAGAGTGCGGTTGTGAGGGCTTCCGAATCGTGAACCCTACCATGTAGCTCCTTTGTTGCCTTTCTGGTTGTATGTTCTTTTTGGCTAGCAGGCTTTATCAGGATCCTAAGCTACGGAAGGAAAGTAACTAATGAATGGAACTACACTGGAAGGTCCCTGCAATTCGCAGTACACATCGTGAAATGCAGGAGTTTACAACGCTGAACCTGTTGTTCTAGGATGCCCAGTAACCTAGGAAGAAAAAGGGCACCCTTTTGGGTATTGCGTAAATAGAGTGACTACAAAAAGGGAAAAAGGGCCCACTGGCAGGCCTAGTGTTGCGACTGTGAGTCGGGATAACCCTAAAACCCTGAATCTAGAAAGTAGATCCCCTAATTTGGGGCCCTGTACTACTGAGGGTACTTCATAGGAACCCCCATTAAGGGATCTACTTTTTGGATCCTCCCGGGGTCTGGGTATACCCTAAAACCCTGAAGCCCTAAACCTCTAAGACGATAACCCCCCCGCCCGAAACAAGAACAGCAGGGCGACAGGCCAGCCGTCTCATTCGTAAGACCTTCTTTGGTTAAGAAATGCTCAGGTTTTAGGGTTTAGAGAGTTTACGGTTTGGGGCCCTAAACCCTAAAGTCTAACCCCTAAACCGAAAGTTTGGGGTTTGAAGTAGCTGCCGCCACTGCCGCTGCCTTGCTTTCCGTCGGTGCTGAGGGCGAGGTCGAGGACGGTGGTTTGCAGTTTTTCCATCTAGAGCACAGGCACAAGTGCAGTGCAAGAGTCCTTCGGCTTCATCTTGCTCTTGCGGCGCTCACAGGCTCCACTTGAAGGCTCATGGGACTTGGTAAGTCAGGCTATAAGTTGGTTATAATCAGGATAACCCCACTTAGATGACTTATAATTAACCCCAAATATAACCTCCTGACTTAAGTCCCATGATCCTCTAAGTAACCAATACTCCCCACCATAGAACCCTCATAGATCCCTAAACCCTAAACCCTAAAGGATCCCTTTAAGGAACCCTACTATAGACTTATAGAGCCCTTTATAGGTAGATCCCTGAAAGTAAAGGAGCCCTTTAAAGGAACCCTACTATAGACTTATAGAGCCCTTTAATAGGTAGATCCCTGAAAGTAAAGGAGCCCTTTAAAGGAACCCCCGGGGGGTTTCTTACGAAGTCCTCAAAGAGGTGGTGGTGGGGGGGGGGCTTCGAGGACGAGAGCCATGGCCAAGACCTTAACTCCCCTAACTCCACTATTCCTTAGTTTAGGAGTTTAGGGTTTAGGGTTTAGGGTTTAGGGTTTAGGGGTTTAGGGTTTAGGGTTTAGGGACCCCCAATATGATTTAAGGCATATTCCTTAATTTAGGGATATTGGAGTCTCTGGGTCGGACATGACTAAATCACCTAGCCTACACCCTCACTGAAAGGATCATGGGACCTAGTAAGTAAGGGTTCTTTTAAGGGATCTATAAGGTTTCTATAATAAGGGGGAGTTTAGGTTTCTTGGAGGATCGTGGGACTTATTAAGTATTTTATAATTGGGCCCAACAGGGTTATCCCAGTTATAACTTACTTATAACCCGACTTACTAAGTCCCATGATCCTTTGAGCAAGCCTCAGGTTGCCCAGAAGGGACCCTTCAAAAAAAGGCACCCTTGTTCCTCATGTAGTTCTGCGTTAATAAGGGGGCCCTAAACGGAAAAGTGCCAAAGGATACCACTGGTGGAACCAGGCCGGCAGTTTCTCATAGTAAACAAGGGCATTCACAACTTAGGGTTTAGTGTTAATTACATGAACCTGTGGTCCAAAAATGCTTACCCTTTGTGGCCGCCATACTCTATAGTGACTAGCAGTGGGCAGTTTGTGCTACTTATTCAAGCCTCTGCATGAGATGCTCACCCTAAACCCTTAAACCCCTGCTCTCTAACCCCCTAAATCCCTGAAACCCTCTAAACTGCCTAGACCCGCCTAAAACCCCCCTTAAACCCTCTAACCCCTGATAGTCGTGCGGCCTGGATAATTAGAATAGGGTTTTGGTGCCCATTATACTCGCCTTATAATAAGGAACCCCCGAAAGAGTCTTGGTAATTATTTAAACCCTTATACCATAGAACCCTACTATAGATCCCTTAAAGTAGCCCTTGTGGACCCCTCTACAGGAACCCTAGCCAATTATTAAGGCCCCTTTTGTACTCCTTTCCAAGATCCTTCTGCAGCACGAGGTGCTCCCAGGGATGCGACAGGAGGCTCCTTCGGGTTGCGACTTGTCTCTGAAACAATGTGCTACTTAAAGGATCATGGGACTGAAGTAAACAGGATATAATTGGGGTTATACGTCCTCTAAGCGGGTTATCCTAGTTACATCTTACTTATGACCCGACTTACTAAGTCCTATGATCCTTTAAGTAGGGATTACTATTACAGGGTATAGGGTCTAGGGTCTAGTGGAGGGGGGTTGAGGGTTTAGGGAATGTGAGGCTTTAAGGGTTGCAGGGTTTAGGGCTTAGGGTTAGGATTTGGATTTGGGCTTGAGCTACGGGTGTGCGGGTTTTCAAAGGCTCTATCGGGCTGTATGGTGTTCTACACTGACTCAGCGTTGGCACCTAGACCCTATAAGCCCTAACCCGGAGCCCTGAACCCAAACCTTAAACCCTAAACCTCAAGCCCTAAACTTTAAACCTTAGCTGTATCCCCAAACCTTACAAAATAGTAGGTTATGACCCCTTAATCAGAGAGCCTAACCCCTGAAACAGTAGGTTTTTGGATCCGCAGGTAGCCCCCAAGCCCTAAACCCTTAGGCCCTAAAGCCCTAAAGCTGTGGAGCTAGGCCCCCGGAGCTTTCAGCTTAGGGTTTAGGTATTTTGGCTTCAGGGCTTTAGGGCTTAAGGGGGTTTAGGGGTTTAGGGGTTTCGGGATTGAGCAGCTTAAGGATTTCGTGCACCTAGGCCTTGAGTCGCCCTGTTTAGGCTGCGACGGTGGAGGGAGGATACAGTGTGGCTTTAGGGTTTAGGGTTTAGGGTTTAGAGTTTAGGGTTTAGGGTTTAGGGGAGTTTACCACGATCAGTTTGCGCTGAAGGGTAATGAGTGTTTAGTGTCGATTCAGGCTCATGGCTAGTCAGAGCTTGGGGCACAGAGTTCAGGAGTCACACATTAGGTTCACTTACAGGATCATGGGACTTAGTAAGTAGGTTGTAATTGGGGCCAAAAGTCCCCTAGGCCCTAAGTGGGTCTATCTCAATAAACTACTTATCCCTAAACCCTAAACCCCTAAACCCTAAACCGTATCCTTTAAGTAGAGTCTGGGGTTTATTAAGTTTCGCCTTTGGGTGTCGGCGGGGGCTCGACCTCCTTGAAGGCTTCATCCCATCTTAGGTTCATACTGTTGATGATATGAATCCTGCATTACCTTAAGGACCCCACACTATGGGAATTCTGGTATATTCCTTATTATGGGTAATGCAGGATTTTTATCATCAACCGCACTCCCCGAAGTGTTGACGGTTGGGTTTTTAGGCTTTAGGGTTTGGGGGCTTGGGGTTTTGGGACCCTGAATGTATTGCTACATACCAACCTTTTCAAGAACCCCACTGTCGCAACGCCCTGGGAAGTTCGTCATAGGCCAAGCCAAGTTGAAACTCTGCGTGTTTAGGGGCACTCTTAAGCGCTGCCAAACTCGAGAATGTCACGATACCATGCTTAAAAAGGGTACAAGCAAAACAAGCCTAAACTCTGAACCGTAGTATCAGCCAGCTACTGCCTAGCACCAGCCCCGCCAACGCTAAAAAAACAACACAGGTTGCTAGATCCTACTTGGCCGAAATCCTAGGGGAGTCAAGGTCAACCTTGGAGATTGTATTGGGGACACAGGCGGTTGCGGTGAAAGGTTATCTACTCTACTACTGTGCTACGTCACAGTCACCCTGAACCCTAAACTCTAAACCCTAAACTTCAACTCTAAACTCTAAACCCTAAACCTTAAACCCCAAACCTTAAACCCTAAACCTCTAACCCTAAATCTCAAGCCCTAAACCTTAAACCCTCAACCTCAAGCCCCAAACCGTAAACCCTAAACCTCTAACCCTAAACCTCCAACCCTAAACCTTAAACCCTCAACCTAAAACTATACTGAACTTAGAACTCTAGCAAAAACCTATAATTTTAGCTGTTTCTTAGGCGCTATACTAACCAAAAATTTAAAAATAGTTCTAAGTGTCACTATGAAAACCTTAACTCGCCGTCTCCTCGTCGGCCACCACAGCAGGGGATGCATCTTGCTCCCCGGTGCCGATGAGGATGACCTGGGGCTGGGTAGACTACTTGGAGGGTCGGGGGACTTAGTAACTGGTTGCTTTAGGGACTTACAAGTACAATAACCCCAATGAGGGTTCCTTTTAGGGTACTTATAAGTCTACTTACGACCTACTTACTAAGTCCCCCGACCCTCCAAGTAGGTACTGCCCCCATACAGCAAGAGTCTATAATAGGGCTACTATGAAGGTCCTAAAATATCTGTATTACGAATATTATTCAACTATTACTCCCCGGTACCGATGAGGATGACCTGGGGCTTTGCAGCCTAGCTCACGTACTACAGCCTGAATCCTAGTCTTGGCCGTAAACAGGCCGTAAAACACACTATGAAACCCAATGAAACCTAAAAAAACATGACGACCACACCATAAGAAAAACAACAGTACTTTCGACACCTTACAAAATCATTAAAAAAAGAAAAACAGGCCCTAAACCCTAAACCCTAAACACAAAAAACATACAGGAAAAGAACAACACACGAAAAATCGAAGGGCGGATCCCGGGCCGCAGCCCTCCGGCACGCCCACTTCCAGCTCCCTCCCGTCGTCAAGAACAACCTGAGGTTTAGGCTTCAGGGGTGTAGGGGTTTAGGGTTTAGGGCTTATGGGGTTTAGGATTTCAGGTTTAGGGTTTACTTAGAGGTTCATGGGACTTGGTAAGTAGGTTATGATTTGTTTAGGGTTTAATTATAGGGTTTAGGGTTTAAGGTTTTCTTAAGGGTGCACTGGGTTCGGGGTTTAAGGTTTAGGCTTTAGGGTTTAGGGAGCTCAGCGCCCATAAGGGCTCGATCCGTAAGGGTTCCTGTATGGGTTTAAACTGTTTTCTGTAGGGCTTAGGGTTAGGGTTTAGGATAGCGTTCTATGGGGTTAGAAGACCGTTTGTAGGACTTGGGGGTGAGATTTGCGAGCTCTTATGGGTGAGACTTTTTGGGGTTTAGGCTTCAGGGTTTTGTGAGCTCTTGGGGTTTAGGTTTGATATTTTGGAGGCGGAGTGGTTTCAGGATTTGGGTTGAGAGTTATGTTTAAAGTTTAAACCAGGTCTACCGTAAGCTACCAAAACCGATGTTCTTATAGGATCCCTATACTGTCCATACTGGGGTCTATAGAAAGAACTACAAAAACTAGGTTATGATAGTTTAAGGTAGGGTGTAGCTTACAAACTTTCATGAGTTCAGGGTTTGGTATTTAGCTTTTGAGCCTTTACCGGTGCTTGGGGAATGTCAATGGGGTATTGTCGGTTTCCCAGGCTTTAACCGGGCTTGAAACATGTTTTACTGCGGCATCAGAGTTTCGGGGACTGCACTTTCAAGCTGGGGCTTTTTAGGGCCTTGCAAATGTCGAGAGTGCTGTGAGGGGGGAGTGAGATTAAGGGATCGTAAGGGTATTGTAGAATTGCAGACCTTGAACCCGCAACTTGCTTGATCTGAATGCTTTGAGGAACTTATGGTCTGTAGGGTTACGAGAATTTTCTCTTGTCACATCATGTCGAGTTCAGGACTTGGGGTTAAAGCTTCTTGAAATTTGAGAGCACAGTGGCTCACGCATGTTATCCGCAAGGTTTCGGTCTACATGGATGCTGTCACACAAGAGCGTCCTGCCTGGATCCTTGGGCAAACCATGAGGAGTGGTGAGCTTCCTGATAACACTGGGACCAGAATTCAGTCAAGCCCTGATGTGTGATCCAACCCGAAACCTTGAAGCCCTGTACCTTAGAAGGGTCCCCCACCCTGTAATAGTGACTACAAGGATTATATTAGGGCCCGGTTATATTCCTATTATACCACTATTACAGGGTGCGGGCCGCTTCTAACCTGTACTGCATGTCTTAGCTGTACAGGGAGCCCCAAAACAAAAGAGCATGTCCTGCAAGCCAGGGCCTCAACCCTGGAACACTAACCTGATTAGGAACAGACATGGGTGGTTGTCAAGCCTTTTTGGGTACCCTAAATATGAGGTGCCGTACTATACTAAGGACCTAAAAAGGGACCCTAATTTTGACAACCACCCACATAAAGGCTTAACAGGCTTTGTTTGTAATGGAGATTAAGTATATAGGGTCATTCAGTTAACCAGGATAACCCCACTTAGGGGACTTACGGTTGATGATATAAATCCTGCATTACCTTAAGAACCCTAAACTGTGGGAATTATGGTATATTTCTCATTATGGGTAATGCAGGATTTATATCATCAACCGTATCACCCAAATTTACCGCTACCTACTAAGAACACCGTAGACGCAAACGAATCCAAGGAGCGAGGAAGGTGTCACCTGGCACGACGTCGTCTGGTATGACGACCTGCAAAGGCGGCTTGAGGGCTTAGGTTTCGAGGGGTTTGGGGTTTAGGGTTTAGGGGTTTAGGGTTTAGGGGTTTAGGGTTTAGGGGTTCAGGGTTTAGGGGTTTAAGGGTTTCAGGGTTTAGAGTTTAAGGGTTTCAGGGTTTAGAGTTTAAGGTTTAGATGTTTAAGGGTTCAAGGGTTTAGAGTTTAGGGTTTAGGGGTTCAGGGTTTACGGGTTTAAGGGTTTAGAGTTTAAGGTTTAGATGTTCAAGGGTTTAGGGGTTTGGGGAACTGAGGGCTTAAAGTAAAGGATTACATGGGGTTTGAGGTTCAGGCTTTAGGGCTCAGGGTTGCGGACCCCTCACATGAGAAACTTGAATGATTATAAAGCGGTTCTCCCGGGTGCATGAATAAGAGTGCCTCCAGGGTGAGAGTTGTGTTCAGGGGTGTGCCAGACGAGTCCAGCAGGAACCCACGTCCGCCCGCAAGCTTTTGCGCAGCATCGTGCTTCACGCATTCCAGGCTCTCGTCGCTTTCCGCCGTGACACATGTGCTCCGGCCAGAGGCGAGGGCGATTTCGATGGACATGGCACTCATGGCTTCAACAACCGGGCCCCACTTTCTTCGATACAGCTATAATGCAGAGGCAAAAGGTTTCCTGTTCCTCTGTTCCGTATCTAAGTTGAGGGGTCATAACCCACTATGTTGAAGGTTTTCGGGTCACAGGTACGTTTTGTGGTACAGGATTTAGGTATGGCAGAATACCGAAGCATTAAATGCCCTCTTCATCCCTATTCCAAATATTCAGATTGTTCATGCAGGCCCTACAATGCCTTGAACTAAACAACTTTGAACAAGGCTTCTAGGCCGGCTTCTCCTGCACGTTAAGGAAGTTTTGCACTTCACGCCGTGTCCCCGGTGATGCAGACTTTGCAGTCTTTGGCTTATGGTTTAGGATTAGGGTTTGGGGCTCATGGTTCAAGTTTAAATTTGCAGTAGAAGCCAGAAAGTTGGAACATCATTCTCCTCATTCCCTTAAGGTATCAGAGATCCCGGCACTAATCATCAGAAATCCATGTTCCAGCTTTCTGGGGTTCACTTTAAACCCTTAAACCCTGAGTCCACTGTCTTCTAAGCCATTTATTTGAAGTCCCTATGAAGACTGTAACGCCGTTAAGGGAGGGTCTTTGTTAATCACGGGTCTACATTAAGGAAGCAACTTACCTTTGGGAATCCCTGCGGGCAGGTAGCAGAACTAACCAACGAAAAAAAATAAGTTTGAAAAGCTAGTCCGGTGATAGTCGAGCAACCCTACCCTTTCCTATCCCCAAACCCCTCAACTCTAAACTCCACAGCACTATCCCCGAATACGAGACACTCAGATCCTAAACTCCAAACCCCAAAACAAAACCCCCAAGTCGCCCCAGCTGCTCTGTAGGGGTTTCTATAAGGGGTATTCTGGGCTTAGCGTAGAGGACTTACTTATAATTAGAACAAGGTTCCCGTAAAAATGGCTGATTTAAGGATTCAAAGTTTAGGATTTGGGTTTTTTTTAAAGTGCAGTGGCGCTTTTCTGGTTGCAGCAACAGGATTTGGGTTTAGGAGTCAGGGCTTGCCGAGGCCCCTCGCCTCCCAATACCCTCTGCTATAGCAAGCACTTGTCGACCCCTAAACCCCAAACCTAAATTGAAATCCACAGCTCTACTTCTTTTAAAGGGTTCCGTTTTGGGTTGTAAGGTTGATATGTGGCGTAATACCTGATATAGAGACCTTACAACTTACGGTAAGGATCTGGGGGATGCTACCATAACCTTAAGGACAACCGGAGAATGTTGCACCCTAACGCTCTAAACCCTGTAACCGTTAATGCTCAAACCCTTATCCTCTAAACCATAGAACCCTCAACCCCGAAACCCCTAAAGCTCTAAACCCTCGAACCATAAACCCTGAAAGCCCTTATCCCTACCTCAAGGAACGTGGGACTAAGTAAGGAGGGTTATAACTGGGGTTATAAGTGCCCTAAGTAGGGTTATCGTAATTATAACCTACTTATGACCTTACTTACTAAGTCCCATGAGCTTTTACGTAAACCCCTAAACCTCACTTCGGCCCCTTAGCCCCCTTCGGCCTAGGAGAACTGTGAACCCTGAGCCCCATCAGCCCTATCATAGGGGCCTGAATAATTAGAGTAGGGTTTTGGGGCCCATTATACTCTACTTAAAATAAGCAACCCCCCCAAAGTAAAATAGAACAAATGTTCAGGCCCCTACATTAACCTACTGACGTTGTGGGGCCACTCTGACACTGCCCTCCTAAACCCTAAAACCCTAAACCCTAAAACCCACCCTGGCCTCAATGTCCCCAGAAGCGACGGAGGTAGACGGCATCCTGGGGCAGCTGGTCTTTAGAGCTCGAGGAATGGCGTGATAATATAGGGGCCTTAAAAATCAGAATAAGGTTCCTTTAAAGGGATCCTTAAAGGGGTCTATAGGGGATCTATAGTAGGGTTCTATGATATGGTTTGGGGTTTATGGTTTAGGGGTTCAGGGTTGGGGGTTTGATAGCATGGAGGGTTGGGCCAGCTTAAACCGGACGGATTTAGCAGCTGGTACTGACTCATAATACCCTAAAGGAGCCCTAAACCCTAACCCCTAAACCCCTAAACCAAAAACCTTAACCCCTAGAGTACCTTGAAAGGGGAACTTCGGCCCTGTCTAGGTCTGTGCGAAGTCTGCAGGAACCAGGGGGTCGGGGGGAAGATCCTTGTGCCAGAGCGACCCCTCCTTCTTCGGGAGGATAACACGTGCACTAACCTAGGGGCCTGAATAATTAGAATAGGGCTTAGAGGGGCCCGTTCTACTATATTAATAACAAGGAACACCCAAAATAATGTAGGTGATTGTCAAGGCCCGTATATTATCATGTGGGTGGTTATCAAAATGATGGTCCCTTTTTTGGTACCGATTATAATTATTTAATAAGGCACCTACTATTTATGGTACCCAAAAAGGGGCCCTAATTTTGACAACCACCCATATACCTTATAGGGATTCATAGTATAATTGTACAGGGCCCCTACTTTCAAGAGTCGCTCGGTCGTTTAGGATCCAGAGGCCAAAAGCGCCTTGAAAACCCTAGAACGTGTACCCAGAGACTCCAACCACCCATGTGCATTAGCTGCGAACAAGCAAGCCAACTCACGAGTCGACAGTGGGGGAGGGGGGGTGGTGTTGTAGGGTTCTCTGAACTAGGATCTCTTACCATATCATAGAACCCTACTATAGATCCCTTATAGACCCCTTTAAGGATCCCTATAAAGGAACCTTATTCTAATTCTTAAGGCCCCTATATTACGGCTGATGATATAAATCCTACATTACCCATACTAAGGAATATATGGGAATTATGGTGTATTCCTTGTTATGGGTCATGCAGGATTTACAGCATCAACAGTAGGATCTCTTTTGTAATGCCTACAAGAGCGAGGCTTCATATTGGGGATCTAAACAGGAAGCTACTAATTTGGAGAAGTACCCATATGATTAGGAAACCTGGCTTCTGTTAAGGTGATATACTGTGGGTTTTTTTGCACCAACTAGCAAGTCCTCCGTTTAACTACCACCAACACCACCATCATCATGGCGTCCTGTTGCAACCACCACTGCTGTCACAATCATGGTGAAACATGCCGTAATTACTTCTGTTCCGAACCGATCACAAAGGAAGCTAGCGCTAATGCAAACAGGCAGCTGCGGCAGCAGGTTATCCTGCACAAAGAGCCCACGGCTTAATGTTAGGGATGTAGTGGGTTTTGCGCTGAGGGTTTAAGCGTCAGCATTCTGGCTTCCAGATAGGGTGCTCAATTATTCCAATAAGCTTGTTAAAGGGTGTCGGTTTGTTCCTTGAAGGATTTTATCATAGTTACTATAAGGGGTGCTACGAGGGTTTAGTATAAGGGCCGTGGAAAATGGAAAAAGGTTTTGGGGTATATTGTACCAAGCTAAATTAGAAATCATAACAGGAACCCTAAGGACCAGCTTTACTTCAGGGTACCCTTCAGTTTGGAACTTAAGGGCGAATGGTTTCAAAGACAGACTTTCAGCAATGCCGGAACCCAAACCCTAAAATCGAAACCCCACAACCTACATGCTTGCACCTTACATTCCAAACCCCACTTTCAAGTCCCAAAGCAAAACCCTACACTGCTACTTGCTAGGTGTCGATTTCTAGATTATTTATAATCAGGGCTCTATTTCAAAAAATGAGGGAAATTACAAGCCTACTGTTGATGAACAAAATCCTGCAGCACCCTTTATAAGGAATATACGATAGTTCCCATAGTTTAGGGTCCTTAAGGTCATGCAGGATTTTGTCCATCAGCAGTATCCGCGGCCTGACCCGACCCTTACATCGAGAAAACAAGTCTCCATGAAAGCTGGCATAAGCACGCAACCGTTCGTTCATCCCCCCTGGTTTAGGGGTTTAGGGTTTAGGGGTTTAGAGGTTTAGGGTTTAGGGGCCAGGGTTTCCCACCACCTCAAAAAAACACCCTAAAGCCTGAAACCTAAAGACGCAAACCAAAAACACACATAACGCACACATTCCTTTCAGAATCCTTTCTAGGTTCCTGGGTACCCCCTTTAAAAGATAAGGGTGCTTGTAATATAGGAACCCTAACAGAAAAAGGGCAAAAGGGTATTGCTCAGGAGCCTACTTAGACGCTCATGGGACTTCGTAAGTAAAGTTAGAAGTAGGTTGTAATTAGGATAACCCCACTTAGGGGACGTTTAACCCCAACTATAACCTACTTACTAAGTACCCTAAACTCCCCCTGATAGACCCCTTAGATATAGATCCCTAAACCCTAAACCCTGATCCCTTAAAGGACCTCTTTAAGGAAGCCTAGGTACCAAGTCCCATGATCCTCTAAGTAGCTTTCCCTACGGGTCCATGTACCCATATAGCATATACTTTGGGCCCAATGTACCTACATAGGGATTGCTTTAAGGCCAATGTATATACTATATGGGTATTTTTGTCATAATTAGGGTCCCTTTTTGGGACACTAATATAGTACGGCACCTGATATCTAGGGTACCCAAAAAGGGACCTTAATTTTGACCACCACCCATATGAGCACATGGACCCTTAGGGTTTAAGGTAAAAGCCAGAAAGTTGGAATATGATTATCCTAAACCCTTTATGGTAAATTGTAAGGTATCCTACCCTGAAACCATATTCCAACTTTCTGGAGTTACCTTTAGACGTTTAGACCAGGCCAGACCTGCGTTGGAGAAATCGGCTCCAGGATCTCCTCGGTGGCCTCCTCACACTCTCATTAAGGTAGAAGCCAGAAAGTTGGAATATCATTATCGTAACCCTTTAAGGTAAATTATAGGGGATCCTACCATTAATCCATATTCCAACTTTCTGGAGTTCCCTGTACTAGATGGGCTTCTGAGTTCTTAAAGTTTTTTTTTTTTTTTTTTAAGGGCCTCTTTTCGATCTGCAGGAAGCGTCTCAAAAGATTCTTAAGGGGTTTAGGGTTTAAGGTTTAGGGTTTAGAGTTTAAGGTTTAGTGTTTAGGGTTCAGGGTTCTTCACTGAGATGTCTTCTTCAACAACCGGGCCCCAAAAAGTTCAAGCTTTCTAAGATAGAGCTAATATATAAGGCCAAAAAGTTTTAAAAGTTCCCCCCGTTCACTATCTAAGTTAGTAGGATGCCCAGTAACCTAGGAATAAAAAGGGCTCCCTTGCTGGTATTGAATAACTTAATAAGGAACCTAGGACTACGAAAAGGGAATAAGGGTACTACTGGGCATCCTAGATTAAGGGTCCATGTATCCAGGGGTCTGTAGGGTACTTACTGTAGGGTTACTCTATGGCTATACATTTTCCATAAAAGCAAGCTCTTGCTTCTGAAGATCTCTTAGGGGCGGAGTACCCATACTAGTACGAGTGTACATTAACCCTAAGGTACATTCTTTGAGACTGCTTTAAGGCCCAAGTATAGACTGTATAAGTCCATCGTACCCAGAGACTCCAATATCCCTTAATTAAGGACTATACCTTAAATTATACTAGGATCCCTAACATGATTTAAGGGATATTCCTGAATTAAGGGATATTGGAGTCTCTGGGTATGTGGTGTCAAAGTGAAGCCTGTGCTGCATGCTCTTCCGGGTTGTTAGGATTTAGGGTTTACCTGGACCCTAAGGAACCTACCTTTTTAGGGTTCCCCAATATGATTTCTTTATATAAGTCCTTAAAAAGGTAGGTTACTCGGGGTTAAGGTAGGGTTTACTGAAATTAAGGGTTTAGGGCCTTCGCAGTAGCTTTAAGACTTTAAGACAACCCCCAAAACCCTTTGAAGGTTGTATGTTCAACTACCACCTTACACGCTACTGCTAAAGCCTATACACCCCGCACCCTAAAATCTCAGGTTTGACTCGAAAAAGTGCGAACCCGCAGCCGCAAGCTGGAGAATTTCAACGCCTGCACCCTCATCACAACACGAAGGGCCTCGCGCGAGTTACAATGCCCTCAACCCTCAGGCTCCAAAATCCCTTTAACTAGGAAGATAGCTTAAATTCTCTCTTTTTCAATGAACGGGCCCAACAAAGTTCAAACTTTTAAGATAGACCAAATATATCAAGCCCAAAGTTCAAAGCTCTCCCATAGGCCGTTGAAGTGGACTCAGGAAGGTATCTTAAATCGCAGAAAGGATACCTTTTAGAACTTATTGATTAGCCAAAAACGGTTTGAGGCTCTGGGAACTCTGCTCTCAAAGGAACAAACAATCCGAGAATCCTATGCCCTAAACTCTATAGTACTCTCACATAGAACCCATCATGAAGGAGTTATTAAAAGAACCCTTACAGAACCCCTAAAACAGCACCATGTAACGCCCTTATGAAACCATTATATAGACCTAGAAGCTTTTATGACTTTCATGAGACCATGATACACTAGACCCAAGAGTAACCTAGGAATAAAAAGGGTGCCCTTTTTTGTTTAAAGGGGCTTATTAAGGGAACCTGAACCCTAAAAAAGGGAATAAGGGCCTACTCTAGGTCCTAGTACATAAAACCATGAGAAACCCTACAGACAATCCTCCTTGCCGAGAGTGCCAATCGACGGCTGCGCCATGGAGTGCATTGGCCTGATTTAGGTACGGCCCCCTTACAGTAAGAGTCTATAAAAGGGCTACTATTAAGGTCCTAATATAACCGTATTATGAATAATATTCAACTATTACTGAGTGGGGGCCGCACCCAAGGCCTGATCTTTATCGGCATTTACAGGGTGTTTAAGTTTTCTTCTTCGGCTTGAAGTTGGTTAGAGGCTTTAAGATGGCGGCCTTGATAAGTAGAATAGAGTTTTGGGCATATTGTACTGAACTGGCTGAGAAAAACCATGAGCCCTAAACCCTAGGGTTTAGGGTTTAGGGTTCAGGGAAGACTAGAAGAGACTCGTACCCAAAATCGTCGGTACTAGGTATTAGCACAACTACTGGTACTGGCAAAGAGTGCTGACACTGCAGCTTGGTTCTGAGATGCGAGGCCTGTTGCACCTGCAACTTGATCAACTACCACGTTTGACAATGCAGCCTGAGCCCTAAACCCCTAAACCTTGAACCGCTAAACCCCTAAACCCTAGACCTCTAACACCTAAACCCCAAAACCATAAACCTAAAACCCTGGCCGCAAGGATTGATTCCGGACCCATTGACGCGGCGACCCGCGCATTACAACCTTATTGTGGACAGCGGTCTGCCATTATAGTAAACACCAAAAAGTTGGAAACCGGATTAAGGACAACACATGGCGCGACTTCTCAGCCAGTATCTCCATCGCAGCGAAACCAGCGTTCGGAAGCTGGAGGGCGCCTGGCTTGGGGTGCCCACACCCGACACCTCCTTGGTGAACTTGTCCAGGATCTCTGGCAAGCTGTCGAAGCTCAGCTGGTCTGGGGCATGCTTTTGCTTTTTCACAATGAAGAGTATGTCTGAACCGTAGATATACGGCCAAGCGCAAGCCAGACATGGGAATTGACATCAACGCTTCTCTCTTCGTCACCCCAAACGATGACCTCCCAGTCGCAGAAGCGTTCCCTACTTGTCGGGTATCATGCGGAACTAAAGATTAACCTCTTTGGTTATATAGGAACTATATAGGGACTGTACTACCCAAAAATGGTTAGTTAAAGGTTACCTACTCTACTACTAAGGCTACTACTACGGTTCTGGCAACGGGATTCGAAGTAGAAGAAGGGTTTACTTGTCGTAAACAGGACTTGCTTCTCTGCATCAAGCATAGTCCGACGAACAATCTGAATACAAACTCGGGCACTGATTCCTTTGCCTTATCGGCACCTTGGCTTGAAGGAGCTTCCTTCTCAACACTCTCCGAACCCCAAATCCCGAAACATAAAGCGCCCTATAACAACCTAGGACAAGCTTCTCAAACCCTGATGGAAGCAAATAGAACCCCCATGACACCCTGTACATCTTGTTGAAAGCTTATCAGCCTTATGATAAAAAAAAAGACACATCACAATCACAACATCCCGACTTTAAGATACACCTGAGCCAGTTGCGAGAGAAGTTCCGGAGCAGGTTCAGAAACCTGCTCTTCCACCTGAGAGCATTCCAGTTTCAGTTCCTACTATTTGCTTAAGAGCCCCCAAAAAATAAAAAATATATTCCTTATGGGGGTAATATAGGGATTATTATTTTTATTTTTTTGGTGTTTCTTAAGCAAATAGTAGGTTCGCAGTTGCTGAGTTCATACGCCCCAGAAGTGAAAATGTCAGTGCTATAGGGCATTGTATTATAACCCCCCAAGTGCAACACTAATGACCCAGAGTTTAATCTGAGTAAACTTGAACCTAAATTACCATGCTTGTTGCGGCTTTTGCCACTACACTTATGACAACTACTCTTGTTCGTGTCGCGGCTTCTCGCAGCGCATGGCCCGAAACCCTAAATCCTAAGCCCTAACCCTAACCTTAAACCCAAACCCTACTCAAAGGTGCATGGGACTGAGTAAGTACGCTTACGAGTAAAGTTACAATTAGCATAACCCTACTCAGGGCACTCAAAACCCCGACTGTACTTACAGAGATCCCAATATCCCTTAATTAAGGAATATACCTTAAACCATAATATTCAGGCCCCTATAATTTAAGGTATATTCCTTAATTAAGCTCTGGGCACAACCCTACTTTCGAGGTCCCGTGAAACCTTAAGTAACCCTGAGCGATGAACTAGGACTACACAAACCTTAAACCCCAAAAACCCTAAACCTAAAACTCTATTCTAAGTATGAAGGCCGCTCTATCATAAAGCTTATATAGTATCCCTTATAGTAACCCTTGTAGACCCCTTTAAAGGAAACCCTAAAACCCTAAACCTTAACCCCTCAACCCTAGTGGGCCAGGTTTGGAGCTTCAGAGGCAATATAGGGACCTTAACAGTTACAGGGTTTAGGGTTTAGGGGTTTAGGGTTTAGGGTTCAGGGTTTAGGGTTTAGGGTTTAGGGTTTAGGGGGGTTCCTTTAAAGAGTTCCTTAAGGGGGTCTGTAAGGGATCTAAAGTAGGCTTCCATGGTATAGGGACCTTGTAATAATTAGAATAGGGTTGTGGGGCCCATTATAAAATAATTGTAATAAGGACCCCCCCCCCCCACAAAAAAAAATGCGACCTCCTGGGTGTCGGGGCCTACTTAAGGGCTCAAGGTGTTCGAATTTACTTAAGGGTTTAAGGGGCCTCGGACGGGTCTAGGGTTGAGGGTTCAGGGCTGAGGGTACAGTAAACCCCATAAAGTTGGAAACCGGATTAAGGCCAAATAGTGCTGGGATTCCCTATACATTACTCTTAAGGATCGAGGCTATTGGGTTTCCAACTTTTTGGCTTCTACTGTATAAGGCTTGGCATTTAGGGTTTGGGGATCTATCTTCTTCGATCTTTCAGCGGCACCCTTCTGAGTGTTTACGGGGCTTTTGAGCAGAAGACGGCGTCGTGCTGTGCTAGGACCTTGGTATGAAGGGCGTACGCAGATGGCAGTCTGCTTACAGCTGAAGTCTTCAGCGTCGGCTGCGTGGCACTTAGAACTTGGAAACCTTTCGACAAGTTAAGTTTGTAAGACTCTAGGTGTTTTGCATAAACCTTTAAGGTCTTAAGAAGCCGACAGACAGAAAACAAGTGAAGGTCCTAGGGTGTGGCCCTCGAAACCCTCCATCTTCAAACAGAAAGGAACCAGCTGGTAGTCGTAGTAAAGGGGCCTTCATGATTAGAATAGGGCTCTGGGGCCCATTATACTACACTCATTATGAGGAACCCCCAAAATAATGTTGGTAATTATTTCAGCCGCTAGATTATACTTTTTGCCCAGCCGCCACGTCAGCCACTGCAGCAGCCACGACCTCACGAAAAGACCACGGAACATGGATCAAGGTCTCCCTTCCTCCCTCTCTGCGTCCCTGTGTCCCTCCCTCCCCTTCGCACCACGGGAGTTTCCGAAAATAGGGGACCCTCATATAGCACCTAAATAGTAGGATCCTTATTAGAGGGACCCCAAATAAGGTACCCCCAAATTTTCGGCCACTCTCGCACCACGGCCTGAGCCACGGGATCTGCAAGATCGACGGATCTTGTCTCCTGCATGCCGTCAGCTCTAGAGGAGTCAAGGTTTAGGGAGCTTAGAGTTTAGGGTTTAGGGAATTTATGTGCAGAGATTCCAAGCCCTCTAGTGCATCTTCTCGTCTTGAACTAGAGGCGGATCCTTCACAAGATTCAAATGCATTCCTTGTTTGAGGGTTTAGTGTTTAGCGGCCTCAACGATCAGGACAGGCTTTTGGGGATGAGTATGGTATACTAAAGAAGAAGGAGGAATACTATTGGTAATTCTTCAGGCTTCTACAGCAGCGAAGCGAAGGCCTTTGTTGGTTAGTGGTCGGTGAGGCTGCAGAGCTTCTGCATTTTTCAACTCAAACTGGCAAAGAAATTAAACAGTAGTTTCGAAAAGCCTTGCAACGGCGAAGCCGTAAACCCTCAACCTTAAACCCCCTAAACCCTGGAACCTAAACCCTAAACCCCAAGCCCTAGGCCCTAAACCTTACACTTTCACCCGGCGATCGTGATCATTTCCTGATTTTGCCCTAGGAGCCCGATTGAACCATATGGGAGCTTCCGAAAATTAGGGGTACCTTCTTTTGGGGTCCCTGTCATAAGGATCCTAGTATTTAGGGTGCCACATTAGGGTGCCCCATTTTCGGAAACTCCCTGACTCGTAGACAAGATTAGGCCAGAAATGGAACATGTAAAACATCCCAAGGTCCTATCTAGCCAATTGCTCTTGCAGCGGCCGCAACAGTGTAGTCTGACCTTCAAGTCGCCTAAACACTAAACCCTAACCCCACCCCTATTCGTGAAGGGCATTCCCGCCTTGGCTGCTGGCTCTGCCGTGGGTGCAGCGGCCTGGCTCGTGTGCCGATATGATTCTTTTCAGCACAGGTGCCTGGATAGTTGGCTTAAGGCTGAAAGTTCTTGGAGTTTTGGGGGTTTTAGGGTCAAAGATCCCCGTTCCTACTCAATAGTGGGCTTACATGCTACCATTTTGTTGAGCTGAGCCCTTGCATGTAGAATGAAATGGGGGGATGTAACCCCATTTGGGGGATCTGGCCGCCTCGACCAAAAATGTAGGCTGAAATGGATGCGTGCAGCCTCCCTAACTTCGCTCAACGGAGCTGTTCGGGGTTCGTTTGGTCTTCGGGTTTGTTTCGGCTCTATGGAACTTCGGGGACTCCGGGTTCAGGGTTGCAGAGATTTGGGGTGTCCAAGGTTCCTGGACGGGTGGCTTTCAAGGTTCCGGGTTGATGGTTGGAAGGTTGCGGCCTTCAAGGTCTAGGGCCTTATGCAATAGGCAATAAAGCTTTCCCCTCTCTGTGCTCTGTTCTCTGCTCTCCACTCTATGCGCTCTGCGCTGTGCGCAGACTCTGCCCTCTGCGACTCTGTGCTCTGCGCAAAATCTGTGCTCTCTGTTCTCTATTGTATTCTCTCTTTGCTCTGCGCTCTGCACAGAGTATGCACTCTGCGCTCTGCTCTCCGCTCTCTGCTCGCTGCTTTAAGCTCTCTTTACTCTCTCTCTGTGCAGAATCTGTGCTCTGCTCGCTGCTCTCTGCTCTCTACTGTATGCTCTCTGTGCTCTGCACTTCGTTCTCTGCTCGCTCTCTGCTCTCTGTAAACTCTGTGCTCTCTGCGCTCTGTTGTCTGCTGTTTGCTCTCTGCTTTCTGCTCTCTGCTCAGGATGGAAGGAGTTGAGAGTTTGGGCACGCAATAGCCTCCCGCAACTCAAAATAAGCCCCGGTGCTGGGTCCTGGCAAGGAGCCTGTTTGGGGGGGTCCTGGGGAGATCCATGAGCCGGTGCCCGTTTCCCCTGCACAGCCCTATTTCAGCCTACAACCTCCTAAAGCAGCAAAACCCCCGCGGATGACACCATAGCTTTCCAATAGTCGCGACAAGTACACTAGATACAATAGGACGTATGCTTGCTAAAATGCAGGGTGCAAGCTGAAATGGTTCCTGTAGCTCTCCAAGGCAAAAATTTCAGCTACAATGAAATGGTGTTCGACCCGTGTAGCACCCCCCATAAAAGCCAGGATGTAGGAAGGGGGATGGTCAAAGATTAGGTTGGTTTTAGCACTAAAGTGCCTTTAAGTTTGGTCTTGGGCTTTTTTTGGGGGGGTTTTAGGGTTTCAAAGGTCAGGGCTTGAAGTTGTCGGATTCTGGGCTTCAGGGATTACCTAGACCCTAAAGAACCTACCTTTTCAAGAACTTTTATGGGAGTTTCCGAACACAGGGGGACCCTAACATAATGCCCTAAACAGTAGGATCCTTATGATAAGGACCCCCAAGAAAGGTACCCATAATTTTCGGAAACTCCCATATACAGAAACATAATCTAGGATGCCCAGTAATCCCTTTTTGGTATTGGGTAACTTTAAAGGGAACCTAGGACTACACAAAAGGGAATAAGGGTACTACTGGGCATCAGTAGGGAACTCTAAAGAGATAGGTTCTTTAGGGTCCAGGTATGGGTTTGGGACTGCAGACGTTTGGAGTTAAGGGCTTCAGGGCCTTGGGGTTTGAACTGCATGTTGTAAAACAATTATGCTATATCCGTACTGAACTTAAACACCTAGCAAAAGTTAAAATTTAAGCTGGTTCTTAGGATTATAATCATTTCTAAGTACCTAAGATCTGGGGTCGGACTATGAGCATAGAACAAATTCAGACTTCGATATTGGCACTTGATTGGTCCTTTGCAAGAAAGCTTAGAGCGTGCTGAATCTGTCTGCATCTTCATATATGGCATCACAGACTGACTGTTCTATGTTTATATCGAAAGGTGTGTGGCGCCGGCATGAACATATCATGATTGAAACAGTTGCTGAGGGCTGCGAAGTACGTTGATGTACACTGCATGCACAGCAAGGAGACTAGACTCGCTTCCCCAGCAGGCCCATATGGTTAGGGAGACTTTTGTTGCTGCTGACTAAACTTCCTGAGGAGGCCCCCCAAATACAAGGAGAAGTTGTACTATGGCGGGAATTAGAACTATGAGAAAACCTTGGGATTTTGGATGAACTCTAAGATCCTGCTGAGGGTGTTCAGGACCAGGGCTCTTGCGGTGTCTAGGGCCTGGGGCATGCCTGTAGTTTAGACTTAGCTGAATCCCTAAGGGTCCATGTACCCATCTAGCATATACTTTGGGACCTATGTACCTATATAGGGAGCCGGGAGTACTTTGAGGCCAATGCATATACTGTATGAGCACATGGACCCTTAGGGAAAGTGTATGATGGGACCCTGGAATCCAGTCCCAGCAACTTCAACTCTAAAAGCCTGAACCCCCAAGACGAACATGCTCAACAAAGGGGTGGTTGTCAATATTAGGGTCCCTTTTTGGGTCCTTGTTATAATACGGCACCTAATATTTTAGGGGGTACCCAAAGGGAACCTAATTTTGACAAGCACCCATATCTTGATGAAGCCTTCCTGTTATCACCCAAACACCCCAAGACAAATCCCACAAGTAATAATATTGTCAGCTCGGCTGTAGCCGTGGGCACAGTGGTGGGCGCAGCCGTCGGCTCCACCGCAGCCCCCGCGGAGTCCTTCTCTTTGTCTTGCGGCATGGGTGGGCTGATGGGATTAGCTGCTTTCGTGTTTGGTCTTGTCATGCTTACTATGTTCGCACTCTTTTGAAGGGGAGGGGTGTGGGGGTCTGGGATTCAGGGTTTAAGACTTGTGTCAAAGACAGGGGCGGGGGTTCGGGATCAAGCTTGGGAATTGGGTTCAGCATTCAGAGTTTCAATCTTAGGCAGGTTTCGTGGCTAAAGATTGACGTTTAAGCATTGGTGGTTTGGGTGTGGTCTTGCTGCCACCGGCATCGGTGGCGGCGCCGGTGCCGGCACCACCACCACCACCACCACCACCACCACCGCCAAATCACCACCTTCCACACAACAACACGCCCGATGACACCATGATCCCAGCCTGCGGCAAAGCGTCAGCTTTGGTCGCCTCTGCGACCTGTATGGTTTCGGGTTTAGGGTGTGAGTGAAAGCCAGTGCAGCATCGAATTTTTGTTCCTTCTGAGGATATTTCACGACCACAACGACTACGACTACAACTCGGCTGTATACGACGCGACTACGACACGGCGCGACACGACTGCGACTATGACCACGACTGCTACTACCACTGCGGCTACTGCTACTACTACTACTACTCCTACTACTACTACTACTGCTACTACTACTACTACTACTGCTACTGCTACTGCTACTGCTACTGCTACTATTACTGCTACTGCTACTGCTACTCCTACTACTACTACTACTACTACTACTACTGCTACTGCTACTGCTACTGCTACTCTACTACTACTACTACTACTACTACTACTACTACTACTACTACTACTACTACTACTACTACTACTACTACTACTACTACTACCACTACCACTACCACTACCACTACCACTACCACTACCACTACTACTACTACAACTACAACTACAACTACAACTACTACTACTACTACTACTACTACTACTACTACTACTACTACTACTACTACTACTACTACTACTACTACTACTACTACTATACTGCTACTGCTACTCAGATACCTGCCTCTTTCGAGTGTGCCGCCAGCGCAACTGCAGCTTCCTGGCTGCGGACCGCTGACACCTCATGACTTTGCAGACGATGCAAAAAGGCGGCTGCAAAGTGAAAGCTTATCTGGACTTTGAAGTAACCAGGGAGAAAGAAGTATACACTTGTATTTCTTAATGGTTGAGCAGGTACCAAAAAAAGTATTCAAGTATGGTACTCCAAAGCCGGGTTATGGCCGCCAACTTCGACTCAAAAAACGGTCGAACAGCGTCTGGGTATCTGCCTCTTTCGAGTGCTGCGCCAGTGCTGCCACCGCTTCCTGGCTGTTGTTCGCTGACACCTGATGGATTTGCAGCTGGTGGCCAGAAGACTCAGAAGACATGGCATTACGGACTAATGGACATGTATGCAGTGTATATACATCCAAAGAATCTGTGCCAGCACAGCAGCACCGGAATTTCCTGGTTCATGTTGTGACGTCATGAGCGATGTACCAGCTGAGAGCAAGGTGTTTCGGGTGTCTGCCTCCTTCGAGTGCTGCGCCAGCGCAGCGGAAGCTTCTTGGCTAGTGATCGCCGATACCTGGGCTCAGGGCTGCAGATTCAGGAGTTTATATACCTATTGTATACGGCTTCGATACGGGGTTGAGGCTTTGGGTCAAGGTGATTTCAAACACATCCCCTACTTAAGGAGTATTGGGCTCTCTGGGAAAGCTTTCCCACTGCCTGTGCAGAAGACAAGCCTTCGTTTACCTTTGGTGAGTAGGGAAAGGAAGAATGGTAGTAGTAGTAGTAGTAGTAGTAGTAGTAGCAGTAGTAGTAGTAGTAGTAGTAGTCGTGGTAGTGGTAGTGGTAGTGGTAGTGGTAGTGGTAGTGGTAGTGGTAGTGGTAGTGGTAGTGGTAGTGGTAGTAGTGGTAGTGGTAGTGGTAGTGGTAGTGGTAGTAGTAGTAGTAGTAGTAGTAGTAGTAGTAGTAGTAGTAGTAGTAGTAGTAGTAGTAGCAGTAGCAGTAGCAGTAGCAGTAGCAGTAGCAGTAGCAGTAGCAGTAGCAGTAGTAGTAGTAGTAGTAGTAGTAGTAGTAGTAGTAGTAGTAGTAGTAGCAGTAGCAGTAGCAGTAGCAGTAGTAGTAGTAGTAGTAGTAGTAGTAGCAGTTATAGTAGTTATAATTGTACCCCATTCCTCCATTCCCTACTCACCCAAGGTCAGTTCATGGCTTCCAGAAACCCTAAACGCTCAGCCCAACCCCAAAAACCGAAACCCCAAACCGGTTCATAATCCTTGCACCCTAAACATCGGCTTTTTTGGTTTAGGGTAGAGAGTGTAGGGCTTACGGTTTAGGAGTTAGGGTATATAGTTTAGGATTTAGTGTTCAGGGTCAGGATCTAGCGTTCAGGGTTTAGAGTGCTCCAATATCAAAACCGTCCCCCAAAATGGTTCGGGTATCTGCCTCCTCCGAGTGCTCGGCAAGTGCCACCGCGGTTTCCTGGGTGTGGATCGCCGACACCTGCGGTCCGCCCCATAGAAGGCTTGCAGAACCCTTATATAACCCCCCCCCCAAAAAAAAAACAAAAACCCTTGATACACAAACCCGAGCCCACGACCCCTTCATTAAGGAATATAGCCTCCATCATGGCGTGAAGCCCCTTGTCTTTTGAGGTACAGTCCGTAATTATGGGGTGTTGGGCTCCCGGGGGAGAGCCCTTGAAGGAGCCTCTAAGCCAGCAATGGATGTTAAACGGATGCATGCCTAAACCTAAAACCCACGAAGATGACAACCAGGTGCACCAAGTTTAGAGTTAATGCAGGGGCCTTAAGAATCAGAATAGGGCTTTGAGGCCCATAATACTGTAATTAGAATAAGGAGCCACCAAAATAGTATAGGTAATAATTTAGGCCCCTTTATTGGGCGGTGATACCTTGAACTGTCATCAGCTATTGGTTTGTAGGGCCCCAATAAAAATTCCAGGCTAGCGTTTACAATAAGAACCTAAAGCAAGGTAGGGTATGGGTGGTTGTCAAAATCCTGGTCCTTTTTTGGGTCCTTAATACAATACGGCACCTAATATTTAGGGTGCCCAAAAAGGAGCCAAAATGTTGACAACTATACCCATATGGTAGTTCAAGGCAGTTATGGTCTAGTATGAGATAAACCCTAAACCCTGAAGGCTTGACCTGCAAAGGTAGAGCGAGCTGAACTCATGGTCGGTGCCCCGTGTCTGTGTTGGCCCTTCTTATGTTGCCTCCATCGAAGTCCCAACCGAAGAAAACATCAACAATGCAAAACCCTTGACCCTATAAAACCTATACCCTATAAATCTAAAACTAAACCCCCCCATAGAACCATAATAAAAAATATGTTTAATATTCTCGTACAAAATAACTCCTAAGGAGACTATAGAAACATCCTCGCACCATCGAAGCCTAGACCCGGCCCCGTGCCCGAGAAGTGCTCAAAGCATCTGCCTCTTTCGAGTGCTGCGCAAGCGCAGCCGCTGCTTCTTGGCTCGTAGTCTCCGACACCTCATGCATCGGGGGTTCAGGGTTCAGGGTTTCTGGGATTACGGGACCTTTACTTGAAGACTCAGGGGCGTTTAGCACGGTTGTCCTAACCATAACCTTACCTACAACCGGACTTACTAAGTTTCCGTGGACTCTTCAACCAGGGATTTCGGGGGGGGCGTTTACGATTTGGGGTTGAGGGTCGGGTTGGCACATTTACTGCTAGCAGTCTCTGATAGCCCCTTTCTGCTCATGATACAAACCCCTAAACCCCTTAACCCTAACGAGCACTTACAATCCCATTTGTCACCCTACCAAGCCACTTGAGCCCTTAAGCTTTAAGTATGATAAACCTAAACCTCGGTGTCCCTGCGTCTTTGAGCCGGTGAGACCAGTAAAGCGTGGTCGTCAAACCCTTAGAGGCGTGAACCCATTAGGATGTCCTTAAGGGGGGTGGTCCAAGGGGGGTAGGTTACCTAGTAATCCCCATTATTCCCCAATACTCCCTAAGCTTCCCTAAGGTTCCCCAAAGCTCCCTAGTACCCTCCCCCCTTGAACCACCCCCCCTTAAGGATCCTATAAACCCAAAACAAAAAACCCTTCCAGCCCTCTGATAGAACCCTTTAAAAGCCTCCTGATCAAACCCTGAAAGTAACCCCGGAACGGACCCTTTACTTAAAGGCTCATGGGACTTAGTAAGTAAGGTTATAAGTAGCTTATAATTAAGATAACCCCACTTAGGGGACTTATAACCCCAATAAAAACCTACTTACCAAGTCCCATGATCCTCCAAGTAACCTAAACTCCCCCTTATACAACCCTCATAGATCCCTAAACCCTAAACCCTAAAGGATCCCTTAAAGGAGCGCTTTAAAGGAACCCTACTAAGTCCCATGATCCTCCAAGTATAGAACCGTCACGAAAACCCAGCGAGAGCCACCTCAACACTGCTCCGGTAGTTTGTGGAGGGTAGAGTAGTAGGGTAGGGTAGGGCAGGGTAGGGTAGGGTAGGATAGGGTAGGGTAGGGTAGGGTAGGGTAGGGAAGTAGCAGGGTAGGGTAGGGTAAGGTAGGTAGGGTACTAGTAGGGTAGGGTAGTAGTGGTAGGGTAGGGTAGGGTAGGGTAGGGGATGTGGCCTCCTTCGAATGCTCCACGAGCGCAGCCATGGCATCCTGGCTTTTCAGTACCCTAAGGGTCCATGTACCCATATAGCATATACTTTGGGCCCAATGTACCTATATGGGGAGTACTTTAAGGCCAATGTACATACTATATGAGAACATGGACCCTTAGGGGTACAATAGGGCCTTCTAAACATGAAGTGTTAAGGGGTTCCGTGGCTGAACAAACTGAGCTTTGTAGTCTTTATAAGGGTTGTATAGGGTTTTCGGCCGGCACATGGTCTTGCATGTTTCTTATAAGGGTTCACTGTTTTCGGGTTGAAAGTACAATGGCTTCAGGGGTTTAGGATGGTTCAGGGTCTGGGTTTTTATCAGCTTTCAATCAGCTTTCAAATACTTCAGATTTTGATATCTTGGGGCTTTAGGGCTGTAGAAGCTTTCCAGGGTTTGGGGTTTCAGGCTTAGTTGCACTTCACCACAATGCAAAGAGCTTAATGAAGGTAGATGTTCAATACCCCTTGCGGTCGCAATTGGTGGGTGGGGCACCTTGTCGAAATTCTGCCATTGCCCTCCAAATAAACTACACTTATGCAATGCGTACCAACATATGGTTAAGCGATGAGCAGCGCCAGCAGTGTCTTTCGAGGCCTTGTGTGCCGTCTCCGAGGGCGGCGCAGCGGGAGCTGGCACCTCCTGGCCGCTTGTAGTTGAGTTTAAAAGCCTACTTGTCGGAGATGGTTCCTTTAAAGGGATCTATGGGGTTCCTTCAAAGGGATCTATAGGGCTTATAGGGCTTTTGAAGGGTTTAGGGTATCATGGGGAACTACAGGTTAACCTTTTTGATTATATAGGGATTACATAGGGGCTATACTACCCAAAAAAGGTTAATGCTACCTACTCTTTAGGTTTTAGGGTTTTACGGGCCCCCGCCATGTAATAGTGGTATAATAGGAATATAATAGGGCCCTAATATAATCTTTCTAGTCACTATTACCGGGTGGGGGCAGCTTCTAAGCTCTGAGAGTATCACAGCATTTTGGATCCTGCTACAATAATAGTCGGACCCCGAATTCAAAGATCCCGAGAAATGGACATCTAATTGTCAGAACCCCTTTACCAATTCTATGATGAAAGCCAAAACGCGGCTCTGTAAACCCTAAACAGACCTTGCAAGAATCCAAGTTCATGGTTGGGATAGGATTAAAAGTGTAAATTTCTATACCTTATTGGGTTTAAGTACCCATAAAAATGTAAAATGTTACCCAACTATGACAAAGAATCAAGCAAAACTCTAGACGACACTATACAACTTCAAAGCCAAACCCCCATGTCGCTCACGCCCCAAACCCTGGCCCCTAAGTCCTAAACTTATTAAGCTCCCTAAACCCTGAAATCCTGAAACTTCCTCAACCGTTTTGCATCTTCTATATTGTATTACGTAAGGCCGAAACTATTAAAACCACCCAAACCCTAAAACCCTTGAACTCCCTAAGGGCCCTTAAACCCCAAATCCTAAACTCCCCAAACCCTGAAATCCTTAAACTCCCTAAAACCTAAACCCCTTAAACTCCCTAAACCTAAACTCCCAGAGCGAAGAACCCGATTCCTCGGGGCTGCGGTCAGCGGCTGGCGTCTCGGTTTTGTTCCTGATGCTTCCGGGGTGTATAGTCGCGATCTAGAGTTCGGGGCCGAGGGTTTAGGGTTTAGGGGTTTAGGGGTTTAGGGTTTAGGGTTTAGGGTTTAGGGATCTATGAGGGTTGTATAAGGGGGAGTTTAGGTTACTTGGAGGATCATGGGACTTAGTAAGTAGGTTATAATTGGGGTTATAAGTCCCCTAAGTGGGGTTACCCTAATAATAACCTACTTATAACCTTACTTACTAAGTCCCATGAGCCTTCAAGTAGGGATTGGGCTTAGGGTTTAGAGCTCAGGTTTACGGGTAGAGGGTTGATGGGTTCAGGGTGCAGAGATTGGGGCTGATTCGAAGTTAGCGTTAGGGACTAGTGCTTCGGGTTTGGGAGTTTGGGTTGAGTGGTGACGCAGGCATATTATGGGGCCAGCAAGGCTTGCTGCTACAAGGCTTTTGCACACACTTGCATATCATCTTGGGGCCCCTGTGAGCCGTTTGAGCATGCATGGAAGCACGCGCTAGGAGTGGTTGGAGCTTGAACCCTTCAGCACCGGCCGGATGTGTTCTCCGAAACCCGAAACTAACATTAATGCCGACGCTACTGAACTCTTGGCCATGCCCGAACCTTGTATACATGTCGGAGCTCCCTCTTTCGCACGTTCTTTACGTAGCATTGCACGGCCTTTTCTTTGCATTGGAAGCCCTTTTGCACCAGCTCCTGCCGTCGCCAACAACATCATTGAACCCTACAGACCCCAAGATTGCCTGCCGAGCGTCCACTCCTGCATGAGCTGCTGGATGCGGAATCTCTGGGCATGCTGTATGTGTTCTTTGATGACCAGCTTGCAAGCCTGCGAACAAGCCCCCCGTCGATTTCCATACTTGCGGCTGAAATCTCCATGGCTGACAACGGGCGTGGTGTAAATGCACAGGGTCTTGTTTGCTCTTGTATGTTCCGACGCCACTTGCGTTGTCGTTGACGTGGACCCAGATGCCCATGGAGAGCAGGCTTGATGCCTCCTCCCCAAATGAGGACCTGATGCCGGTCCGCCTTGCCTGAAGAGAAAAGAAACACTCCGGAGACCATGTGCCCTCTGCCTGGCGCAGGGACTGTAGTAGAGTTGAAAACCTCTAATACCTCGATCTGGTCGCAAAACAAGCCCCGCAATATGCCTGCACTCAGCTTAAGAACGCCTCATAGAACCCCGTTAAGAACCCATTAAAGCGACCCTATAGTACCCTTTAAGAACACCCTTATAATAATAATAATAATAATAATAATAATAATACCCCTTACTTACTCCCAACAAGCCACAGAAATAAAAGGGTAAACTTTTCGATCCCTACTAATCTATAAGAGCCCAAAAAGTTTAAAGGTTGGGTATTGGGGATCACGGCTTCAGAACCCTTTGAAGGAAGCCTATAGAGGAACCAGACACTCAAAGCCCCCAAACCCAAGCCTGATCCGGTTTAGGGTTTAGGGGTTTAGGGTTTAGGGGTTTAGGGGTTTAGGGTTTAGGGCTCCCCAACCCCTAAACCCCGAACCTCTTACTTGAAGGCTCATGGGACTTAGTAAGTATAGGGCCTAGGGTTCCTTTTAAGGATACTATATAGGGCTCTACAATGGGGTTCCCTTCTAAGGGTTTAGGGTTTAGGGTCGACCTAAAGGCTCATGGGACTTAGTAAGTAAGGTTATAAGTAGGTTATAATTACGATAACCCCACTTAAATTCGGGGACATATAACCCCAATTATAACTTACTTACTAAGGCCCACGATCCTTTAAGTACCCTGACGCAAACCAGAAAAACACAAATAGCCGAATAGCCCTTTGATCAAAAGTCCTGGCTGGTTCCTACATTGCTTCAACAGCCTTGCCATATACGATATCCTGTACCCTTCGGGTAACCTTATAAACCCTAAGCCTCTGCCACCAAGCCCCAAACCCTTAGCTCCTGTACCCTAAATGGGAGTCCCGCAAACAGGGGACCCTGATATAGTACCCTAAATAGTAGGATCCTTATTATAAGGGCCCCTAAACAAGGTACCCCTGATTTTCGGAAACCTTAAATCGTAAAAACCCTTTCGATGCAGCCGAAGTGTCGGCACAACCTCGGGGTGTGGCTCTGGCACTTGTTCTGCAACCTGGGCTGAAAAGTACCCGAAACCGTAAACCCTAAACCGTAGTAGCTTGTGAGTCTAGGATTAGGGCTTCAGCGCGGGAGCCCTTGATGTGGAGATTGTGGAATTTTGGAACTGCTTTACAATGGGGTTTATAGAAATGGTAAGCAGGTTTTGATATGGGTTTATAAAGCTGTTGAGCAGGGATGAAGGCGTTAGGATTTCTGGGCTTCTCCAGAATCCGCTGAGCAAGCGATATACCCTAACTCCTAACTCATAGGGGGACCCTTGGTTCGGCTCTTGAGACATGTGTCGCTTCATTACTGCATCTGGGGGGTCTGAACAAGTCCAGCAAGACGCCCCAAATCCTAAACCCAAATGCCAAACCTTACACCCCCAAAATGTAATCCTTCAGCTCGCTATTCCTAATAACAAACCCTACGCCGCAAACCTCCAGTGGTGACCAAAAGGCTCATCGAGCTTCAATGTCGAGGAATGCCATAGGATGTGAAAGGTTCAAGGTTTAGGGAGGAACACTTCTTAACTCAGGGTTCAGGGTTTACAGTTCAGGGAGTAGGAGCCATGCCCACGAATATGCTAGAGCTTCACTGGTCAGGATTGTTCGGCGGTGTTGTCGGGGCTTTCCCACATCCTGTGTTCGACGTTGTTTTTGGGCTTGCGGTCTAGAGTGCTGAGCTTGCATACACATACATGATCATACGTGTACGCCTACTGTAGGGGCCTTCAAATTTAATTGCCTATACCATGTTAGGGGCTGCTAGTTGCCCCTATATTACCTACCTTAAGCCGAGGCCAGCCCTGCCAGCCTGACATAGAGCTTTCCTTTTTGGGATTCGGGTCTCTCCAACATTCAACACTTGAACTACCCGTCGGCCTCCCTTCTTCTAGCGGCTATAGCGGCTCTGATCGTATAAGCCTTACATCGTCGCCTTTAACAGCCCCCTATGGTAAAACTCTTACAGCAAGCCTCCGCCTACATCAACACTCTCAACCTCGGTCGGCCTCGGTCGAAAAATGGAATCCCGATAATACACAGCAAGTTCTGGGCTCTTCACACGTACAGAACCCAGCCTGGTTCCTGAGTAGCCCTTTGATAGTAAAAAGGGTACCTTGCTTTCCTATTCATTCGGTAACCCCAGACTAAACTGGAACCCTATAGTCCACAGCAAGGTCTTTGCTCTTCACGTACGCAAGCCATAGAAGACAGAGAACCCTACCCCGAAGCTGCTATTCCAAGACGAAAGGCCCGAAGTCCTGAACCCTACTTGAAGGCTCATGGGACTTAGTAAGTAAGGTTATAAGTAGGTTATAATTAGGATAATCCCACTTAGGGGACTTATAACCCCAGTTATAACCTACTTACTAATTCTTGCACCTGTGGAGAATTGGGGATTTAGAGTTTGCCTTAACCCCAAGTAACCTAGCTTTTTAAGGACTGATATAAAGAACTCATATTACGGAACCCTAAAAAGGTAGGTTCCTTAGGGTCCAGGTAGGGGTGATAGATTTCGGAATTGCACTCCCAGCCCAAGATCCAACCCAGCCACCATGTTGGTTTCAGCAGCGCCAGCGACCTCGTCCACGACGGATTCCGTCGGGTTCAGCGTTGAGATATATGGCAGGATTCACAAGGTTTCGTTGCTTCGAGTAGAAGCAAAGCCTACTCTCTTTTAACCGCATTTCGTGCATACAAAGCTCAACAAGAAATTGGTACAACTAACTCAGGCAAGGCTGGTTTACACGTCACTCATCATTCCAGTCACCTCAGAAGAGCGTAAGCAGCAAAGTTCTCGTTCGGTTCTTCCTGTAAAGCTCGCCATGAAGGATCGGAAACCTTCAATCCTAAACTCTGTTACACCGGTGCTTCTGTAACCCCATGCGGGCATCGGGTGACCCCCCTGCTCGCTAGCAGCCCCTAAGCCTGAAAACGCTCCTATAAATACCTTCGAAAGCCTGGGAAACCCCAAACGCACGAACATTTCAGCTTACCCATAGGCCCCATAGTAGTTCCTTTTTGGGGTTCATATGTAGAACGCTATACAGTAAGGTAACCGCCTCGGCGTAGACCCTAAACGCCCTAAACCGCGAAGCCCTGAATCCTAAACAGTGGACCTGAAACGGACCCTAAGGGTCCATGTACCCATATAGCATATATACTTTGGGCCCAATGTACCTATATGGGGAGTACTTTAAGGCCAATGTATATACTATATGAGAACATGGACCCTTAGGGGGAGGTAATCAACAAGACCTGACAGGGCTCAAAAGGTGGGATGAAGGTAGGTGGGGCTTTTTTGTAAGGGCATCTTAATCCTACCTAGCTTCATCCCATCTCTTGAGGCCCCTGACGGTAGTTCTAGAACTAGGGATCTTAAAGTGTTATTCGGCGTTCTGCTGTCAAGGCTTCATCCCAGCCTTGGAGCAACCACGAACTCAGGCCCCCACCTCGATCAGCGCCGCCGTCTCGTTCGAGGGCTCGTCGGGGACGGCGTCCTGAAGCTTGTAAAAAAGCAATCATTATAGGGTCTTTTTCCGTTCTACCGCGGCTTTATGAGCGCTCTACAAGGGTTGTATTCGGGCACTAGGATTCTATAAGGGTGCGTTTACTATACTGAACTTAGAACCCTAGCAAAAATTATAATTTTAGCTGTTTCTTAGGGATTATAATAACCAAAAATTAAAAATTATTTCTAAGTACCCCTAAGTTTAGGGGTTTCGGGTTTATGACCCTAAACCCGAAACCCTAAACCCCTAGGGTTTCGGGGATTTGAAGCTATTGGTTAAAGAATAGGGTTTAGGGTTTAGGGTTTAGGGTTTAGGGTTTAGGGTTTATTTGGTGTCGAATGGGATTTCTGTGCTCGGGATTTGTTTCGCAGGGTTTAAGGGTTCGGGGGTCTATGTTTTTCAAGAGGTTTAGGAGCGGGGGGGGGGGGTCTAACTCAAGAAGGTTGGAAAGGGTCTGCTTCAAGGGTTTCTTGTAGCCTTTTAAGGGGTTTAGGTTTGGTGGGTTCTGGGATATTTCGGGGACTTAAAATCGTGGCATTTCGATGCGACGTTTTGGGGGGCCCACCTCATGTGTGTGTGTGTGTGTGTGTGTGCGTGCGTATGTGTGTGTGTGTGTGTGTGTTTGTGTGTGTGTGCCGCGCGTAAACCAAGAACCCCGGAAGCACACCCTGGTAGAAACCCAGAAAATCCTTATTCCCCTCTGAAGAGGGGCGGGGGTTGAAATAATATTATATTGCATGTAGCATTGAGCAAAAGGCCAAACAACATGCACACGAGAGCTCTAAACACGTACCTAATCCCATCTAAATCTCTTCCAGCTGCAGGGTTTAGGGAACCTTGGCAGCTCAGGTGGAGGCTCGGTCTGAGCATGCCATATTGCACTTACTTAGTTGCTGAGTTCATAAGCCCCAAAAAGTCTACATTTTCAGTTTGAGAGTGGGTAGTATTATCCCAAAAAGTGTAAAGTGTATCCACTCAGCTGCTAAGCTTATAACCCTACGCACCAAGGCTTGAACCCAGGAGCTTTGACAAACAACTTACCCTTACTTTGTTACTACAACAGTTAGTTTTAGGTATACCGGGGCTCCCGCGTTGCCATATGAAGGCCGTGTGAATGGTTAATTACAATGCAAACATCTGATTTGCTACAGACCAATTTTTCGAAATTTCGGTAGCTAAGATTGGATCCTCATAAGGCCATATCAGAACCGTGAAACTACTTATCACGCCCCTGTCGCCACACTTTACAAGGCCCTTGAAGCATCTTTCAAGAATAACCCCGCTATATACAACTATATATATATATATATGTGTGTGTGTGTGTGTATACACACACACACATGACACACCCTGCGTGTGCTGCTCCGGCTTCTGTCAAATGATTGTAATAAGTAAGTATATATATATATATATACATGTACACATCCCCCCAAACAAAAAAGCTCTTGCCAAATCCAAGCCCTAAACCCCAAATCTCAAACCAACCCTAACCCCCATCAACAGAAGACTATCTTGTTTAAGTTCCGCCTGCGCCGGTCGAATGGGCTCCGTGGCGACAGGCGGCATCTGCGGCAAACCGAGAATATCACTTGCGGTACCCTAAAGTTCGGGCTCGGTTTTGGTTTTGTGACGCTTTATGAGAACTCATTGCGGTTTTACGAGGTGCTTTTTTGAGTTGAAGGTTTCGCAAGATCGAAGCGCCTTTAACGCAATGCGTTAGGCCACTGGGAGGGTCGGGGGACTTAGTAAGTAGGTCATAAGTAGACTTATAAGTACCCTAAAAGGGATCTTAATTGGGGTTATGATACTTATAAGTCTATAAAATAACTACGTACTAAGTCCCCGGATCCTCGACGCAGTGTTCTTGCTGAGGTCATTCAGGCTAGATCCTCAACTACTATTTGCTTAAGAACCCCCAAAAAAATCAAAAAAATATATTCCTTATGGTTGTAATATAGGGATTATTTTTTTAATTTTTTGGTGTTTCTTAAGCAAATAGTAGTCAACCACAGCTCGGCCTGGACCGTCGTTGCCGGGGGCTCCTTCACCGAGAGAGTTTCACTTGGGGGTTCTCGGGTCCATTACTTAGGCTTTTGATTTTGTGGCGTTTGGGTTTTGGGGGTTTAGGGTTTAGGGGTTTAGGTGTGTAGGGTTTAGGGTTTTGGGATAAGTACCCAAGCACCAAAACAGTTAATAACGTTTCTCAGCTACACTTAATACTCATACGGGGGCCATACTATAAGGGAATATGATTTGAAACCCCCAACCCCTCTATCATGGCTCTTACCAGTCTTGTCAAACTCGAGGTGTTCAGGTTTTAGGCTGTTTCACCCCGTATGGGCTTCGTCCGGAAGATGGTGGGGGGTTGGGAATAGCAATTCGACGTCCCAGGGACGCCCGCGCCCCTCCGTGACAAAACGTACAGAACATCCGCCAAAAGCTCGTTGAGAGCACTGAAGAAATAAGCCAGCAAACTTGTCTCAAAAGCACAGAAAGCCACCACCATTCGGAGTCCTTCCTGATCCACGCCCAGTCTAGGGTGTAAGTTGTGTTGCAGCTTAGGGTATAGGATTAGGGTCTGGGGCTCAGTGCGGCTGTCTGGCATGGGAAGATCTCAATCATGAGCATGTATGCAGCGCATGGCTCAAATGCCGGTCATGAGCACCGGCTACGGTTTAGGGTTGCAAGGTTTAGGGTTTCGGGTTTAGGGTTTAGGGTTTAGGGGTGCGACCTACGGCTCTGCGGTTGACCATACGCTACTCCTCTGACTAGCTCTGCCATTTCGCCTTCCAATGCTGAAACAGCGAGACAATGGTTCCGGGAAGAATCACGTCATTCCTGCACGTAGGCTTTTGAACCACTTGGCCAGACATGGTTTGAATGGTAGGGTCTACGTCAGCTGTAACCAACAAGAGGGTACACTTTGACGTATAAGTATAACAGTATAACCTTAGTAGCTATACTTAAGCGGCATGTAGTTGCAAGTACAGGTATGCTACGTCAGGTTACACTAATCTCGAACCTACAAGGCCAGAGGCCTAACCCACAAATCAAAACAAGCAGATTCGGAGTTGAGCCGATATTGGTGGTAGGGTTTAGGGGTTTAGGGTATTGGGTGTTTCAGGGTCTTAGACAATCCTGTTCCCTAAACCCTGCACCCCGCTAGACCCTAAACCCCTAAACCCATAAACCCTCAACCCCTAAGCCCTAAACACTAAACCCCTAAACCCTAAACCCTAAACCCCGAAAACCCTAAACTCCTAAAACCCCAACACCACAAACATTAAAAGTCCAGCTCTGGCCCCGAGAGGCTTCGCCCAAAGCCCTACTTGCAGGGTCGAGGACTTAGTAAGTAGTCATCAGGGTTTAGGGTTTAGGGTTTAGGGTTTTTCTACTTAGTTGCTGAGTTCATAAGCCCCAAAAAGTGTAAAGTGAATCCACTCAGCTACTGAGTATAGACTCATAAACTCAAAAAGGTAAAAATGTGTATAACCCCAATTAAGGTACACCTATAACCTTAGAATATAGACTCATATTATAAGTATCCTATCCCCGAGTAGGATCCCTTCGAGGGTGCTTCTAACTCTTCTTGCTACCTACCTACTAAGTCCCCCGACCCCCCCAAGGCAAAGGCTGAACCCTAAACTCCAAGGGTGAAAGGAGGGACCCTTAATAAGGACCCCCAGGTATATATCGCTATTATATGCCCATTATATAGCCCATTCTAGGGTAGGGGTCGCCATTAAGGGTCCCTCCTTTTCCCCTTTGATAAACCCTAAACTCCCTAAACCCTAAAGCCCCGAACCCGGAAGTTTCTAAGCACTAAAAATCGAGGGTTCTGAGAACAGCCGTGACCTGGACCCTGTCAAAATCACGTTTGTTTTTAAGGCTCCCTGTTATGGTTTCCTTATAAAAGTCCTTACAAAGGGAAGGTTATCCGGGGCTCAGGTATAGCTTATAGAACCCTCAGGCGAACCCTATGCCTATATGGAACCCTCAAAGGAGCCTTTCGGGGATCCCTCCAAGGAATCCCAGAAGGACCCTCCAGGGAACCCTTGTAGGAGCCCTTCAAGGAACCCTGCTATAGGGGCCTTAAAAAGTACCAACACCAATTTGGAGGCTCTTTCCTTTTTTTAAAATATAGTGGGCCCCAAAACCCTATTCTAATTATTCAGGCCCCTCTCGTAAGTAGGCTTACATCTGGGGTTATAAGTGCATTGAATGCCCAAAGGAGAGTTGTCCCAATCAAAAACCGTACTTACTAAATTATATTAAGCCCGTGCAGCTCCTCTGCAGCAACTGTGGAAACTGGAGCCTCCTGATGGGCGTATCCCGGCTCAAAACGAGACATAGAAGCCTGATTAAGTAGACTTTGGTTTGAGGGTTTCTACAACATATATCATTTCGGGGAACACACCGGAACAGTATTTCTAATTCTGCAGGCCCCCAAGAACCTAAACCAAAACTCAGGTTAAACAAAAACTCAACGGCGCGTGGAAATCTAATCAAGACCAACGAATTTCCTGGGAACAAGTTTACTAGGCTGTTCAGTAACCCACTGGGAACAAGTATATACTTTTTTAGGCTTCTTATTTTATAAAAGGAACCCAGAACCTGAAAGTAAAAAAGTGTACCACTGAACAGCCTGGTTTAAGCTTAGCAGCCCAGTTCCCAACCCGAATGCACCAAGCTTTTGATCAGTGTGTGTTTGCCAAGCGTTTTGTGCTTGCCAACTCAACTACCTCGAAAAAAGAAGCAAGACGAATCTTGAAGGTCCTAAACCCACAATCCTGAAGCGTATACCGAAATGTAGGGGCTTCGACATTTACTTAAAGTATTCGTGGGGTTGCTGATAACTTGTTGCAATATGACATACCGGCCAAAACCATATTCTATAACATCAAGCCCAAAACTTGAATCCTACTTAAGGGCTCACAGGGCTTTGTATTAGATTTTATGAGTAAGGCTATCATCAGGATAACCCCACTCAGAACACATGTAACCCCAAATATGACCCTACTTTCCAAGTCCCCTTGAGCCCTGAAGTAGATCCCAACCTTACACCGTGGAGAACTGGGGAGCTTCCAGGTACGGTACGGTCATATACTAGGATCCACAGTGACCGCGGAATACGAAGAGCTACCTTTTGAATACTCGATACTTCTATAAAGAAGCAAAGACCACAACAAGGGTAAAGGGCTCACTAGGCCTAGTATGGGTGTGTATACTTCTAAAGGGCCTGTAAAACCTTCATGACAGCATAAACCCGATCAACGTCTACACAACCCAACGAAAACAATTCCTGCACAAATTCGTCCCGTTCAAGAGGAGTGACGACGCTTAAACTAAACCCTAAACCCATAAAGCCCTAAACCCTAAAAGCTAAACTCCACAAAAACCCTGAGCCCAAAGCACTAAAGCCTACCCTAAACCTTAAACCCTAAAACATCCTACTATTTGCTTAAGAACCCCCCCAAAAAATAAAAAGTTATAATCCCTATATTTTCCCTATAAGGAATATTTTTTTTTATTTTTGGGGGGTTCTTAAGCAAATAGTAGCATCTGAAGAGCCCAGTGCCTCCCCCTTGGAGCCCTTCGGAGTGACCGGGAGGAGAATGGTAATCGCCGAGCCCGGCCCACAACCTTCAGGAACATCCACCTGCTTCAAGGGTTTAGGGTTTTAGGGTTTTAGGGTTTTGGGTTTAGGGGTTTAGGGTTTAGGGGTTTTGGGTTTAGGGTTTAGGGTTTTAGGGTGGTTTAGGGTTTAGGGCTATAAAGTTGTATGTAGCCCATGGTTGGGATAGTTTACAGCGTAGAATCAAAATAGGGTGCTGGGAGAGGCATCCAGCCCGGTGAAAACTGTTCTGCCAACTTGCAAGGAGGGGGCTTAGGGACAAGGCTTTCGGGTTAGGGATTAGGGACTACAGGGTTTGGAGTTTGGTGTGTAGGGATAAGGATTCAGGCTTCACCGCAAGCTTTGTTCAGCAAGGCTTCGAACGGAACGGTTGCAAAAGAGGCCTGTCGCGCCCTTAACCCTAGAAAATTGAAACCTCGAAACCCTTACACCCTAAACCCTACAACTCAAAGCCCTGAAGCTCAACACCCATAACCCCTTTTTCACTCAGACCCGTAAGCCCTAAACCCTAAACCCTAAACCCCCAAAACTTAAAGCCTTCACCCCCTAAAGACCTGTCTAATATAGCGGCCTTGATAATTAGCGTAGGTGTTGGGGCACATTCTGCTGTACTTAACCTTAAAGGCTCATGGGACTTCGTAAGTAAGATTACAAGTAGCTTATAATTAGGAGATAACCCGACTTAGGGGACTTATAACCCCAATTATAACCTACTTACTAAGTCCCATGATCCTCTAAGTACTCTGAATGCCTACAGGAATTGACCCGCATAGTACCCTCCCCTGACCTTTCATCTATCAGAACTTAGAACCCTAGCAAAAATTACAACTTTAGCTGTTTCTTAGGGATTCTAATAACCAATAATTAACAATTATTTCTAAGTACCCCTAAGTTTCATGATCTTCAGCCAGCTGCTGAAGAAGCTCTGCAG